CTTTATGACAGCAAATCTGTTCTCTTTTCTACATCACTTTCCATCCTGTGCCTTCTTAGTGTCATCTCCTCTCTTCAGAACTTGGTTACCCTCCTCATCTCTGCTTATGAAAATCTCAACGCTTCAGGGCCCTACCCGCATATGACATGTTATATGGTCCCCTTGTTGATGACCTTAGCCATATCACCTGTCAACCGCAATATATTTATTGTCAAAAGCATTTTTTTTTGGCTTAGATACTGCCCTATATACTAAATATTTTTTGTGTCTTCCATAGTACTGATGTCAAGCACATAAATATATTATATAAAGATATGTTGAGTAAAAATGAATAAATTACTGCATGCCAGGTCTGTACCTTCAAGTCTTCTGTTCTCTTTCCTTTCATCATTCTGCCTCTGCCTTTGGTATGATTTAGATGATTGTCACCTACTCATATTTAATTACAATTCCTAGCACTGTGTCTGGAACTGCATAGAGTTGGAAAAATTTCTCATTTGCAGGCAGCTGAGAACCTCCTGCTCAGCAACCAGGAAGCTTCATTCGGAGGAAGTCCCTTATGATGGTAGAAACCAACATTTTGTCATAAACTGAAAAGAAGGATGAGAACTAAATGTTCAAGTATTTTAAAAAGTAGTTGTTGTGCCCTGGCCGGTTTGGCTCAGCAGTTAGAGTGTCGACCTGTGGTCCAGAGAGACCCGGGTTCAGTTCCCGCTAAGGGCATGTGCCTCAGTTGCAGTTTGTCCCCGGCCCTGGTTGGGTCATACAGGTGGCAGCCACTCTATGTGTCCCTTTTGCATCAATGTTTCCCTCTCTCTCTTTCTCTCTTGCTATCTGAACAAAAAATGCAAAAATGTCCTCAGATGAGGATAAAAAAAAAATGTGTTGCTACTGAGTAGACAGAGGCTTAATGAAACATCTCTCTGGTTTTAAAAAAAAATTATCTTTGAAGATATATTTTTTAGGTGTCTTATACTTATAAAGTTTAATCATAATTCAGTTTGCAAAAAATCAAGCTTCGTGTTATTCTCGTTAATATTGAGCCAAGTTCCATAGTTTGTCCATAGAATTCTCTCTTGGGAGGAAAAGGTAGTTGTCTGCTATTAGTTTCTGTTGAATTCTCATGAGGGGCTTAAATATATTACTAATCTTTCTCAACAGCCTGGCAAAATAAGTAGAAATCTCTAGTCCTACTAAAAGGGTAGAGAGTTGGGGCCAAAATTACTTGTTTTTTTTTTTTTTTTTTTCCTCACCCGAGGACATTTTTCCATTTTTTGTTCAGATAGAGCGGGAGGGAGAGAGAGAGAGAGAGAAACATCGATGTGAAGGGACACACCGAGTGGCTGCCACCTGCACGACCAACCAGGGCCGGGGACAAACTGCAACCGAGGTACGTGCCCTTAGCGGGAACCGAACCCGGGCCTCTCTGTACCGCAGGCCGACGCTCCAACCGCTGAGCCAAACCGGCCAGGGCCAAAATTACTTGTTTTAATGAGTTGTCAGCTGGACACTACTTTAGCTCAGGGGCTGGAATTATACTTTAGTTTCCTAAAGAAAATAATTGAGTAATGTCAAGCTGGGCATAAGTAAGGCACCTTATACTGACACAACTCACTTTTCCCTGAGATAATGGTGAAGTATTTTATGTTGAGAAGGATGGACTGTGCTAGGGCATTTTATGTTCTATTGAACAGATTTAATAAAAAAACCTTTTTATTTTTTTGCTTGGGTTTTTCTTCAGTCTTACAAACTGTAAAATCCTTGTGGGGGTGTGGGGAGAATATCTTTAATTTCCCTAGAATGTTTCCTTTGTGCCTAGTTTATATTGGGGCTTAAAAGATGTTGCCTGAAGGATTAAATTAAAATATTTGTCACATATAGTTTGTCGGTATGTATTCAAAGAGAAGAACGACTCCAGGTATGAAAATGAGAAATGTGTAAAAATCAGCATTTTAGATGTATAATGAAAGTGACTTTTACTAAGGAACTCTGCCAATCTTCCTTCAAAATAATTAACATGCAAATTGGAATTCATATTGCAACCAAAAAATGTTTGCTGTATACATGATTATCAATGCATAGGTGGTGTTTGTGTGGATGCAAAGATGTGTTCAGAAGCTTCTGATCTGTGTTGCACTCTGAACAACCCAGCCTGTATTCGCAGATGAATTACATTTCATTCCCCCTTTATCCCGTGCCACAATTGCATCTCACATATTTAAACAGGTGTGCCAGTTTATCCAGAGAGAATTACATTTTTGAGAAAACAGCTTAATGAATCACTTTGCATTTTCAATAAGTATGATTAAAGTTTCTCAAGGTGATTAAGGTATAAATTATTTTTGAGAATTAAAATATAACACACACACACACACACACACACACACACACAATCCATTCTTAGTCTGAGTTACCAGTTCACAAAGGACTTAGTAAACTCTTATTTTGAGAGTTAGGGAGTGGAAAGATATCTTTTCTTATTCTGGTAATATTTTTATTTACTCATTGAGGAAAAAAATTCTTTTTTTCTACATGATATTTTATTATACACACTAATATATAACTGCATATAGAAATAGCTGTCAGTGTTTGGATGAACACTGGAAATTTTTGCTTCTGGACATAGCTGCAATAAGCATGCAAATAGGGAAAGGTTTGAATTCTTATGAAAGTGTCTTAGTCTAGTTCTGGAGTTTTCTAGTAGATGTTGGAAACTAGCTTACACAGTTTTAATTTCTAGATAATTCTTTTTTATTAATCTTTAATGCAAATATTCAACCACCATATGCCTTGGTTACCTCCTTTCACAATCATAACTCATTCTGTATTATTTGAGGAGGCTAAGTAAGGTAGCAGAGAAAGCTCATCTTTTACAGCCAGACACATTGGGAATATGCCAGCCTTTTACTAGCTGTGTGACCTGTGGCAAATGATTTAACCTCTCTGCTCCACTTTACCCATGTGTGATCTGCTTCAAAGGGTTGTTTGAGGCACTGCCAGGAACTTAGTATTCATTAAGGAAAAGGTTGTTCCATTCTTTCTTTTATCTTCCTTTTAAAATTCCCACTGCAATTTAGAACAAAACCAAAATGAAATCTCTCCCAAACAAACAAAAGTACTCTAATAAAAATAGTGTTTGATTAAAGTAATTTCCTTACCTGCAAGACATTGTGTGGTTTAGCCCGGCCGGTGTGGCTCAGTGGTTGAGCATCAACCCTTGCACTAAGAGGTCACCGGTTCCATTCCGGGTCAGGGCACATGACCAGATTGTGGGCCAAATCCCCAGTGAGGGGCATGCAGGAGGTGGCCAATCAATGTTCTCTCTCATTGATGTTTCTATCTCTCTTTCCCTCTCTCTCTCTCTCTCTCAAGTGAATAATTAAAAGAAAAGACATTGTGTGGGTTTGGAAAATGGTACTTTTGAACAATGTCACTGTAAAATTGTTAAATAATCCACACCATGAAGACACAGATAATTATCATATTATTCATAGATAAATTTTCATCTTAAAATATGTCCTGATTTGGTTGCTTGCTTTCATTTCATCCCACTTAACTAATTTTTCCAGATGTCCACATTTTCTGGGGAAAAGGCATGGTAAGAATGAGAGAAACAAGAATAATGAAGGAAGAAGAGAACTCTAGGGCAGTTAGAATCATGTGAGAAGAGGAGCCAATGCCGGAATATGAAAGCTGAATGTCTTATTTTCACCTTTTACAAAATGGAAAACTTCCTTTTGTTTGACCTTCCCTTCAATATTGGTAGAAGGAAAAGATTTCATCCTTCATCCTCTCCAATTTTGATTTCCCATCCTGTAACTTCAACTCTGGATATTTTCATAACAATGAAAAAACGTATCTAACTTAATTCTAGATCCAGCAGATCTAGAGTCCTTTTGGCAGGTGGGATGGAGTGCAATTCACTGTTGGATAAAAAGAAAAAAAAAGAAAGAGAGATAATGAGATAATGTTTAGATTTGGGATCTGGATACTTAAATGGACATTCACATAATGCCAGAAGAATCAACTGACCAAGAAATATGGATCTGACTGAAAATGCCTACCAAGGAATTTTCTCAGTTTAAGAAGGGCCAGCAAGGCACATGGTGGCAGGCTTCCTGTGGGATACATCTTTTTTTTTTTTTTTTTTACCTTGTCTCCTAAGGCTTTCAGGTTCAGATCTGGCCACTCTTCCTGTTTCCTTTCTGTTCCCCTCTTCTTTCTCCCTCATCACCTGCTAAAATGTAAGAAGTTGTCAGGACACATTTGAATTTCAAGTGTTTAAAATTTTTATATCTCTACAACCAACAAATAAGATTATATCAAATTTAAATATTTTCTTATTATCTTGTTTTTTTTTTTTTTTTTTTCCTCCTGAGTTCTAGATTTCCCTCTCATTCCCTCTATTTGTGGTTCTTACTATTTCCATTTTAAGCTGTGACCACTCCATGGAGAATGTCTTCTCTAGCATGCATATTTCTTCCAGGACCAGATTTTCTTTCCACTACTTTATTCCTGGGTGCCTCCTCTTTGGCTGCCTGTCCTTAATTTTCTCCCATGTGAACTCTTAGCATGGATGTTCTCTGTGGAGTGCAGTAGGCCTGGGTTCCAATTCAGACTCTGACACTTACTGGTGTATGACTAGGACAGTTCTTTGTTCTCCCTGGCCTCATTTTAATAGGATCTACCTCTTGGGGTTGTGGTGAGGACAGAAACAGAAAATCAATGCCAGCACTCGCTTTTCTGCCTAGGCTATGCTGGAGTAATGCAGAGCTAAAGATACCTGCATCCCATGATCAGAGAAACTTGGGGTTCCAGTCCATTTCCAGTGGAGATTTATATTCAAGGAACAATGGAAATCCTGGGCCACTGAAACCAACCAGTTTAAGTTGGTCTTCAGTCACTTAGCAATTGGACCACACTTAACTCATTTCTCTCTTAAACTACCTGTTTTTGTTCTCCAAAAGAACCTGAACTGACTGTCTGCTGTCTTTGTCTAGTTTGAACTTCAATGGATGCTTATCCATTGTGATCCACTTCGACCCAGCCGAGAAACTTGCCACGAGCTGCCAGCCAGGATAACGGTGAGTCCCCTTCACCACCTGCAAAAACCACTTCCACCCAGCTGACTCTTCTCCATCCTGCCTCCCCACTGTCTTTCTCCTAAAAAGTCTGGGCTTTGCTGTACCAGATAGATCTTAAGGAAGCACAGGTCCCATCCACAGCCTGGAGGGTAGAAACCACCCAGGGGTGTCTGATTCTACCTTTGGTTACTTACTTCCTTCCCAAACGTTCCTCCAAGAAAGCTGAGGGTCTACTCGCCGCCCACAATGGCGCACAGGCCACCTAAAGAGGCTCTGAGGACAGCCAGAGGCAGCAGTGGGGCCTGTGGGCGGAGGCAGAGCCGCGCTCTCTGGCCTTGCCCGCGCTGTGCTGGGAAAGGGTTAAGGGGGACTGTTGTCATTTTATCCGTCCTCCGGGCACGCAAGCTCTCCTCCAATCCCCAGGACCCTCTCCAGGGCCATTCATAAACAGGAGGAACGGACGCCTCCCCTGCTAGGGTACCCTTGCAACCACTGACCCCCCTGGCGCTTTTTGCTGGGAAGAAGTACCGCTCGTGCGCGTGGCGGGTCCGGAAGCCTAGCGCGGTGGCAGGAGACAGAGTGGCTCTCCGGGATTAGCAGAGGGCGGTGGGCATGGCCTGGACGGCGCGCGACCACGGGGCCCTAGGGCTGCCACTGCTGCTGTCCGGGCTCTGCTTGTGCGCGGCTCAAGTAAGTTGTGAGGGAGTTTGGGGTGGGGTAAGGGGATGCTTTCTCACTTTCTCCCCATCTTTTTCTTCACCAGCCCAGCCAGACACCCGACCAGGTATGCTGGGGGCGGGAAGTGTTTGCATTTTCTCAGCGCACGCAGGGGAAGGCGGGGATGCAGCCGTCGCGGGCGCAGTGGGGAAGGCTCCGCGCATCCCCAGGGCTCTGGGGCGGCTTGCCACCTCCAGCCCGGAGCACCTGCCTCAAGTACCGTGGGAGATGGGGACCCCAGATGACCCATCGTTCCGGGAAAGGACACCTCCCCCACTTGGGACCTAACGCTGCAGGCTTAGACGCTGAAGGCCATCGGTGTCTGGAGACGGGTTTAATTTTTAGCTTGGTTTCTTCGTACTTCCCCTCCCCCTCTCCTGGTCACAGTCAAAAAGGGGCCGGAGAAGGCGGGAATTCAGGCAAGCGGCCCCAAAGCTCCCTCTCCCGTTCCCCCAGCTCTTCCAGCCCGCGGTGGCAGCACTAAACCGTGCGTCCTGCTAGCGGTGCCCGTGGCTCGGGATTGGCACTGGGCAGCCTTGGCTCCCATAAAAATTTCAGCAACTTCCCGAGGGCTCCGGCGTCACCTCCCTCCCGCGCTGCAGAGGGCGCGGCGGGGGCGGGTGAGCCCAGCCGAGGTTTGAGGTTTCACTTACAAAGACCCCATTGTAACCTGTCTGGTCATTGGAGTTTAGAAAAACAAAGTTTTCCTTGATGAAAGAAGCTCTTTTTTAAAAAAAGTTAGAAGCAGGAAAAGGTCCCCCACATTCCCTAAGCAACATGCTCACACTATTTCAGACGCCACCAACCCCTCCAGCACCGTCAAAGCTTAGCTGATTGCAGGCGATCAAACGGGTCACTCCCTAGGGTCAGTCTAAAATTTGGTGTAGTTTAGAAGCAAGGTTCAATGACCTCATGCAAGAGAATGTCCCTGCAGGTAAATCTGAAATGAGGCCAGGCGCTCGCTGGGCTTCAGGGATCTTCTGCCCAACTCCTCCCCAATTTTTTTCCTCAAGAGTATTTCCCTCAGATTTCTACTAGACGCACAAAGATTTACAAAACGACACTGTAAGCTATCTAATATGGACCACATCCATCCTTAGCTGTTTCATTTTAGCCAAAATACTGACTTGCTATTACTGATCCAATCGAGGTATCCAATGACCACCATTTTCATTATTGAATCCCTTAAAAAATAAAAGAGGCGTCAGGCTCTCCCTTCTTCAGGACCTCCTTTTGGTTTAGTGCACTCTGTAGAGGTGAGACCCTGTGATCCCTCTCCCCACTTTGGGGGCCTAGCTGCTGCTCTAACCCCACTGTTCAGTGTCATTCAGAATGTGGCAGAGCCCAAGCAGCCTGCTTTAGCTTGGAAGTTTGATACACTTTTATTATATTGGGTTTCAAAAACCCGGCCTCCTTGGGAAGGTGTCCTTGCGGAGTGAAGGTGGGGGCCTCAGGACATTGCACCCAGTTTTTTCTTGTTGCCCAAGGTGCGCCACTAACCCGTGTGTGCTGTTTTTGTCAGAGAGGTCCCCCTGGCGAGCAGGGTCCCCCCGGGCCTCCGGGCCCCCCTGGAGTTCCCGGCATCGATGGCATCGACGTAAGTTTCCAACGCCAGCCCCTCTGTTCTTCCAGTCCCGCCCTTTCCTACCCTTTCTCCAGCGGCTCTGAAGGTTTCCTGAGAGGGCAAGTTGCCCCCCACCCAAAGGCGGGGTTGGACATGGGTGGCAATTGGGAGTTGGATCTTAGAAGACTGGGAATTTTCGGAGGAAGGAGGTAGACGAGTCCTGTTTTCCCCGTGGGTCATGAAACCTCCCTAGTTTACCCTGCCCCCGCCCCGCCCCTGTCCGAATGGTGGTCACAGAAGTGGAATTCTCCCAGCGGGTCCCAGCGTCTCACTGGACTGCTCTCGCCTTCTCTCCTACCCCTCCAGGGTGACCGAGGTCCAAAGGGTCCCCCTGGCCCCCCGGTAAGTTGATCAGCACTTTCTCATCTCACTTTCTTCCTTTAGACGCCGTTTGCTGCCACGTGCGTTCAAAGAGTCTCAACTTTGCACCCCTTTATCTCCCTCCCCCTACTCAGGGTCCTCCGGGAGAACCTGGAAAGCCGGGAGCTTCTGGAAAGCCTGGCACGCCGGGGGCTGACGTGAGTAGGCGTGTGTGTGTGTGTGTGTGTGTATGTGCGCGCGCGCGCGCGCGCGCGCGTGTGTAGAGGAGGGAGGAGGAGGAGGGAGGGAGGAAGAGAGAGGCTTAGTGCTGGGCTGGGGGTGGGGTGGTAGACCTAGCCTGCCGAAACAGGGCTGTGGCCCTGAACTTGCCTGGCTGGCATGGAGGCGGCAGCTTTCTGCAGAGGGGCCTGCGAGGATGGAGTCTCTCTGGGACTGCTGCAGCGCTGGCATCTCCTCCTCTCAGATAACGGCGGTGGGTACCGGGTTCCCCCTCAGACAGTCCAGTCCCCTCTCTGCTCACCTCCTGAACTCCCAGCCACACTTGGGGGCAAAGAGGTGCTGGGGTAGATGGACTCCTACTGGTCTCTGCTGGGACTTCGCAGCAGCTGTCTTTGCTCTCCTCCTTTTACTGTCATTCTCTAGATTAAGTCAGAAAAAGAACCTCAAGCAGGGAAAGGGGCAGAGAAAAAAGGAAGCTGTGCTTGAGAGGGGGCCTGAGGGCCTGGGATTTCTGGGGGAAATTCAAAACCAGTTTTCTCTATTTCCTTGGTGTTTTCTTTGCTGGCATCACTGACAAAAATAAGCTGATGAGGATTGCTTGAAGGTTAGGAATCATCAACATTTCCCCAATTTCCCCATCTCCATAACTCCCTTTTCCCATTTGCAGGAAGCTCAGATACTGAGCTGTATGGTAAACCTAACCCTAAATAATATTTCTTCAGAATAAAATGACTTCAGGACTCTCAGCTTCTCCTGTCTCCAGGCACTCAGCTAATACTGAGTTCCCAGTGCAGGCCAGTCCTTGACTTTGTGGTTGAGACACAAAGTGAAGTAAACTACGGCATCCGTTCTCAAAGAATAGACAACCAACGGTGCATCCAAGTTATCCTGCAGGTTACCGCCTTGTCATTTCCCCCAAATACTTTTCTAACTCAAAAGAGAGCATCTGAAAACCTATGATTATAATTTCCAACAATGTTTGACTAGAGTTTAAGACTGATCCTTCATTTTGAGGACAGAAAAATAAGATTTTGACAGTTATTAAGATTTGCTTTCTTTCTTATCAAGATTACCATAATGAGGGTCTATGGTAAAGCAGATAGACTTTGTTTACATTTCAAAGCATCTAGTTTGAACTTTCTATGTATGCAAAGCAACAGCACATGAGGCCCCCAAGGACTAATATCTGGATAAAACAAACTGAATATAAAATTAATATTTGTATAATACAGAAAGACTCTGGCCATGGCAGGTTTGGCTCAGCGGTTAGAGCGTCGGCCTGCGGACCAAAGAGTTTTGGGTTCGGTTCTTGCTAGGGGACATACCTCAGTTGTAGTTTGTGCCTCCCCCACTGCCCCGTTGGGGTCATGTGGGTGGCAGCGTGTCTCTCTCACATCCATGTTTCTCTCTCTCTCCTTCCCACTCTATCTGAAGATAAATGCAAAAATGTCCTCAGGTGAGGACACACACAAAATGACTCGAAACAGTCACATAATAAAATATAAGGCCACTAAATAAACGAGTAGCCCAATATAGGTTGGATTTATTTCTGCATTTCTTTGAAACTTGAATCTGACTTTTGTTTTGTGTGAAAAAAAAGTTATGATTGAATTATTATTGTTGTTATTATTATTATTTATTTTTGTGGTGGTTGAAGCTCCTGAAGTCTTGTGATTGAGTTGCAGTAATTTCAGACAGAAGGTTAGACGTATCTGTGCCTTAGTTTTACAGTCTTATGTAGCATGCTCAACAAATTCTTTACCTTTTACCATAAGGTCATGAAGACAATACCTGGTTTTGCTTTATAACTTCCCTACTTAAATAGAAATTTTGGATAAACAAATGAAAGTGCTTCAAAATCTTTGGAAGTACAATATAAATAACAATTACATATATTTTTTTCTTTGTCTAAAATTGCAGTCCTATAGTGCAGATCAAACCAGACTTCCAAAGTTGAGAATATAAGAGTAAGGCTTCTTATAAATTTTGATCCTGGAAGGTCCTCAGGGAGAAAGTAAGTGATGAGGGCATTGAACCAGTCTCCTGAGATTGAGAAAGAAAGCAAGAGAAAAAGAAAGAAAGGAGAGAAAAAATGAAATAAATCCATGTATGTGGATTTTAGGCATTTCCTAGAACTAAGCAAAAAAATAACTACTAATTTGCATTTGTGTAGAACTTTTTTCTCAAGCACCCTCATAAACTTTATTTCCTTTAACCTTACAACAACCTGGAAAGCAGGTTTAGCTATTATTCTCCCTAGATAAGGAAACTGAATAATTATGAGGAGAGTAGTTTTCTTAGGACGGAGAGTTATTTAGTGGCTAAGATGGTGAAAAAGAAACCAACAGGTTTCTTGATTTTTAGACTCACTCTCTTTCCAGATAGTTTTGCCTTATTCAGATATAAGTGAGGTTCTTCAATAGATTAATACGCAGAGAAAATAGGAAGAAAAAGAGTAATGATGAATTTTTAGTGTCTGAATTACTAATCAAGAAAAAAGTGATATGGACAATTCAATGGATAATAAAAATTATTTATAATTGATATTTTGTAATTATTTATAAATATTTCTATGGTTCATATGCACCAAAATTTGAAATGGAGCCACATGGAACTTAAAAGATTCGTAGCTGAAAAGTTTTCTTACTACATCCTTTAGCTCATTTGACATTTTATTTTTTATTTTATTTTTTTTAAATCCTCATCTAAAGATATTTTTCCATTTACCTTCAGATAGAGTGTGAGGGGGAGAGAGAGAGAAACATTGATGCGAGAGAGACACATTGATTGGATGCCTCTTGCACAACCCCAGCCAGGGTGGAGGCGGGGGACCGAACCGCCCTTGACACCAATCGAACCCATGACTCTCTGGTCTGAGGGCTGATGCTCTAACCCATGAGCCAAACTGGCCAGGGCTCATTTGACATTTTAAACAAATCTTTTACTCTAGATTAAGAATAGAAATTGAGAATAAGGAAATATCAGTAACTAGATCAGAGCTCACTGTTTGTCCCTGGACATAAGGAAGTAGGAAAGCTCCAATAACCTTTTCTTGATAGGTGAACCTGAGTGTAGTTGTAGGACCTTAAACCTCCAATCTCTTTGGAGGAATTTGAAAGGAACATGGTTTAAAGGTAATTATCCTGCCTGGTTGCTGTGGCTCAGTGGTTGAGCTTTGACTCATGCACCAAGAGGTTGCCATGTCCAGGTCAGGGCACATGTCCAGGTTATGGGCCAAATCCCCAGTGGGGGGCATGCAGGAGACGGCCCGTCGATGTTCTCTCTCATCGATGTTTCTATCTCTCTCCCTCTCCCTTCCTTTCTCTCTAAAATCAATAAAGAAAAAAAAAATGAAGGTAATTATCCTAAGTTAAGTGGATTTTTGACAGAAAAGATAAAAGAGGCACGACAGCTATGCTTGAAGAATTATGCCTTGAGTGTCCAGACCTGAGTCATTGGAATACTGGAGGAAATCAAACTGAGGGTTGGTGTTCTCTGTGTTCCCTGCCGAGCAGCAGTGTGAAAGTTCAGAGCACAGTCAAGTTCAATATCCTATATAGAACTTTATCTTCATAAACATTCATATAAAAGCAATTCTTTCTGCCACTGGTAATATTGTCCTCTTTTATTTCTATGGTAAATAAGAATTACTACAAATTAAAATTGTGTGTGTGTGTGTGTAAATGTAAATGTGGGGAAAAATAGATATAATATTTTCTTTCCTGCTAAGACTTTAAGTTCTTTCCCCTTATAGACATGTACAACTAGAGAAGTCAGAGCTTGGTTATAACCTTGTTCCCAAAGGACAGCTATGTTACTATCATCAGTAATATCAATAGAGACAGTCATATAGGCACTATTTGCTGTCACATACTCAGCAACCTCTGTAAAACTGTTATTTATTCTAAGTTGAATAAGTTATTTATTCATCTAAGATAGGAAGAAAAAATAGAATTAATTATAGGAATTATAGTTAAATCATGCCACCCCCCCCTTTTTTTTTTAATAAAAAAGAGGTTAGAAAGTATTTTGAATGTATACAACCATGATTCCTGACAGATTTTTTTTTTTTTTTTTTTTATCCTCACCCGAGGATATTTTTCCATTTTTTGTACAGATAGAGTGGGAGGGAGAGAGAGGAAGGGAGAGAGAGAGAGAAACATCGACGTGAAGGGACACATCGAGTAGCTGCCACCCGCACGACCAACCAGGGCCGGGGACAAACTGCAACCGAGGTACGTGCCCCTAGCGGGAACCGAACCCGGGTCTCTCCGGACCGCAGGCCGACGCTCTAACCGCTGAGCCAAACTGGCCAGGGCCCTGACAGATTTTTATATTAGCATAGTGAGCTACTAAGAAATTATTCTGAAAGGTCAGTGTAAGTAGAATTAGTAAAGCATTGAAGAAATGTGAAGGGTGCGTGAAGTACAGTGCCTGTGGTTAATATCTAGATTAAAAAAATTTGTTTGCAGAACCCTTTCTGAATGAGGTTGTAAGCTACCAGAGGGCAGAAAATATGTCTTATATGTGCTGACCATATGATAATGATGATAATAAGATGATAAGAGTAGCTAACATTTATTTAGGGCCCACTTTGCCAGGCACTGTTGTATTTTGTGTGTCATATCCTATTTAATCTTCAAAATTGCCATAGAGGTAGATATTATTATTATACTTATTTTACAGATTAGGAAACTGAGGCACTATATAGTTAAGTAACTTGTGAATGGTTGCACAGCTAACAAGTGGTACAGCTGGGATTTGAACCAAAAATAAAGATGATGTGGAGGGACAAGTGTAATATCCCTCCACCTAACAGGCTGACCTAAATTAATTTTATTTGATAGTCATGTATTGAGTATGTAATCGGTGCTAGGGGCAATGTGCTAAGATTGAATGGACACACATCCCTTATCCTCATGGAATTTTTTTAAATTTCTAATTTAAAAAAAATTTCAATTACAGCTCATGGAGTTTTATGCTTTTCTATGTAGCTGTTTCATAACAGAATTCATCATAACATCTGACATCAGAATATATTTTCAAATTAATTTAAAGAACTTCCTAGGGATAGACATTTTTATCAGGTTCTACGGAAGATACTAAATATGAAGCAATCTGGAAGCAGCCTCCAGGTTATCCAACATTTACCTGGTTCTGCTCTATTATTATGCAGCTGAAATTCTACCATCTATAGAAGCTACTGCCCTCTAATCTTGTCAGTTCTTCAGGTCACAGATTGAAGATGGTTAGTGGGCTGCGTGTATGGGAATTGACCAGGACTGGTCTTGGAGGACACACATAAAGTGGCAACTAGAGGTTCCATTAGATAAACACGACCTGAGGTGTAGAAAATCTATGTGCCACAAACATTTCCAGAGAGTGTTCCTGGATGTATGGTTTGTTTGGTGAAATACCAAAGCCAATGTTCCATTTCCACAGGTGCTCAGCAGCTAAGATGTTGGAGCTTGTTCCCAAATTAGAGTGTTGTAATTAGACTAGGGTGACTGCAAATCAGAGACGGCCTGTCAAAACTTCTTTTGTGTGGGTCTAATAATTTTCTTCATTGGCACACTTCCAGTAATTAGCATTTTCAACTCATTTTTTTTTTTTTTTTTACTCCTTTTATTCACTCTACAGAGTTATGAGGGAAATTAATTGATGTAGAGAAATGTAAAAGTGGTGACCAGTGAACTAGTGAACTAGTTAACTAGTTTTTTTAATAAATTACAAGAAAGCCATTTTATTGATAATTATGCAGAGTATGACAGATAAAGATGGATTTTACTGATTCATTTTTAAGTAGGGTTTTCATAATTTCAAGGAATCCTTCTCTTGATTAAGATTATTTGTCTTTTCTTTTCTTTTTTGAAAATATGTTTTTATTGATCTTTTATTTTATTTATTTTTTATCCTCACCCGAGGACATTTTTTTTTGTTGTTGTTGCATTTATCTTGAGCTAGAGTAGGAGGGAGAGAGGGAGGAAGAGAGAGAGAGAACATCAATGTGAGAGAGACACATTGGGTGGTTGCCACTCATACGACCCCAACCGGGGCCAAGGACAAACTGCAACTGAGGTACATGCCCTTAGCGGGAACCGAACCCGGGTCTCTCTGGTCTGTGGGCTGATGCTCTAACCATTGAGCCAAACCGGTCAGGGCTCTTTTTATTGATTTTTTAAAGAGTGAGGAAGGGAGAGAGGGAGAGAAACATCAATGTGAGAGAAAAACATTGATTGGCTGCTTCTTGCACGCCCCCTACTGGGGATCCGAGGCTGCAACCCAGGCATGTGCCCTGAATGGGAATTGAACCGGGACCTCTCAGTCCATGGGATGATGCTCAATGCATTGAGCCACACTGGCCAGGCTTTGAGTCTTTTTCAAAATCCTAATAATAGATAGGTTTTATAAGATATTTATATAATCATGCATCTATGTGTATGTACATATAAGTGCATATTTATAGATGCACCTACACATATTTATCTTTAGCAAGGTATAATTTCCAGATTACATTATAAATGACATCTAAAGGTTTCAAAGAGTAAATAAAAATTAAAAGTATAAAAATGTGTCTTCACCAAATATGGAAATTCAGTGTACACATGGTGTTATTATACTTTAATATCTCCTTGAGATCGATAATAAAATAAGTACTGGTAGGGAAAATGAGAATGCTTTAAAGACATGCTTTAATAACCACTTTAGTATTAAATATGAGAGTTATACATGTGTTTTATAGTAACTGGCTTAAATTATACATATGGAGTGGCACACATGAAAATATATACTTAATTATAGCTATTTTTACTAAGGAAGATAGTATAAAAACATACATGTTCTCAAATATTTCAACTTTAAAAGTTGATGTTCTTAAATAAGCCGTTGTCATTGCTAGAAGAGGCTAGAGGGCTTCATTTAGGTGGTTGTGAGGCAACAATGAGATCGATTATTTTTAATTCCCACTGAAGAAACATTTTATTAACTCTCAAGACATTATTAGAGAGTTATAGAGACATGTAGTATTTTTATTTTATAAATGAAGTAAAGGAAGTACAAAAACATGGGTAAGTCACAGAGCCAAAACCTGTCGTTCCATCAGATTTAGCTATTAGAATGCTGTAATTGTTACATGGCATTTTTTTCAAAGCAATGACAAAAAATATTAAATTATTGAACCCTGTAATAAACAATGTAGTTAGCAAGAAGTTAGGAATATAATAAAACTTATCAATGTAAAGTAACTAACAGATGGTATGTTCCACATTAACTTTGAGTAAGAATATAGAAAGATATTTTTATAAATATTTGCATTATACATAGGCAATCATTCTGTACATAATTAATAAATAAAATAAAATTACCCACTTAATGGTATGCTTAAAGATACTATATTCGTTTTAATATCATCTTACTTTGTTAGGGATTAACAGGACCTGATGGATCCCCTGGATCTGTTGGACCAAGAGGACAAAAAGTAAGTTAGCCATCTGGTATTAATTGCTGGTGTTAACTAAGTGCTGAGGTACAATGTTATTGTAATGATTGCAGATCAACTAACAGATAGGTTGTGAAGCAGCTAAAATATACTGTTCAAGTAAAATTGTGTTTTAGCTGAATTAAATTAAATTAAAAGCACCCAGATGGAGTGTTTTAATGATTTTAGTATTTATGCTGTTTGCATATTTACATATTTATGCTGCAAAAAGCTAAGTACAATGAAGCTATTTTTATTTTTAGGGAGAACCTGGTGTACCGGGATCTCGTGGATTTCCAGTAAGTGAATATAAAGCGACAGAATTAAAAATCTATCTTTGGGTAAAATTCTACCATTGTGAACATTTAAAATGCAGTCTTCTACATAAAGAAGTTTATGACTTACCTGGCATGCTAAGTATTCTGGGTATGAGTAGAAAAATTTTTGAGAAATTTGAATGTACAGTATAAAATATGTATGTCTGTTTGCAGGCTTTATTTCCCAATAGAAAACCCCCCCTCCACTGGTAGAAAACATTTCCTGCATAGCATCAGCAAATCGAAGTAGTCAATATATAGTCCATGGTATCACTCCACTTTCTTCACAACTGGCTTTATCTCTTATGAAATATCAGCCATCAGGTATTATCACCAGTCTGATTCCCTGGCGAGTCCTTTCTTACACTGCACAACCTGGCAGATTTGTATTATTTCTGTTTATAAGAGAGCTAGGTTCTCAGGCTGCTTTTCTGTTCCATGTTGCTCTTCACTCCATCTTTTGTTTTTGTCATTACTCTGTATTTTCCCTCCTTGTTTTTTATTTGCACTGTTTTCTTTGCCATTTTTCAGTAAGCGTCAACTTTTCCATAAAGCCTCTTTTCAGAAGTGAATAGCTTGCTGGCCTTTCTCCCGTATTTTTCAACTCAGAGCTCAACGCCTTATGGTGATGCCTTCAAAAAACTTAGTGAAATTTATCAATCATCTAGGTTTCTGAGAATGAAATAGTGTTGATTACTTTGGCATTTTCAAGCATAACATATTTCCCAAATCGATCCACATATTAAAATGTTTAAGTAGGAGCAATTTTTCAAGGACTGCCTTAAAGAAGTCCCACTTATCATCAAACATAGTGCTTGTGTGAAATTATTTCTTATTTGGGCGGCCTAAATAGTTAGAAATAATAGTATCGTTATCAGAGGGTGTACATTGATTCCACTGGATGCTTCATATATGGATTTGTTTTAGAAAAGAAAGTGTAGAATGAAAAGCTAGCATGAATATGGTAGGAGATATCACTGTGAATAAAAGCTCTTCAAGCCACTGCAGGAGAGAAGAGAGTACTGAGGAGCCCCGAGGGCGGGGGGAGTGGACTCGGAAAACAAAGAGAGAAAATAAGGGATTTTAGGCAGCAACAGGCATATAGTTACGGTTTGTTATATACTAAGTCTTGTGCTAGGAATTGGGGCTTGGAGGATGAATATGATATGGTTTCAATCCCTAATTATACACAATTTGGTGTTGCTAAGATATAAAATGCAAAGGAGAGAGGGAGATAGACTACTAGTTTTAAAATCAAATTCAGAGTATTAAATTAGGATCCCATCATAGGTCATTTCAGGACTGACACCATTTTATTTTTAATATCTACTGGATCTGGGTCTGGAAATAGAGTCCTATCTGTCAAAGAGTGTGTGTCTGACCCCCCTTTTCACCCCTACCTCCCTGTGCAGAATATTTGTCTGGGGGAACATTCAAACATAATGTTAGAAATGATAAAACATTACACTGTATCGCTTTTAATGTAGGTTTCATATAAAACTTGACAAATGAAAAACTCTTTAAACTGTCAGGCTGTGGTGTGTCCCTTTGTGAGTGATGGTGAGTTCTCCCGAGGGCAAGCATGGATGACTTATTTGCTTTGATTTTCTTTTTAAAAAAAAGTTTGGAAAAAATGATTACAGGTTAGCTTAGACCTCAGAGTGGTGTCTGAGGTGCTGACATGAGCTTCTGCTTCCTTTGGAAGCAGAGCCATGTTTGTTTTCCTTTACCCACTGCTTTCTGTAGAATGAGCATCGTACATTTATTTACTGATAAGAGTTTATAGTTTATCTTTGAAAGGAGGTAGGCCTGTGTCCATATTTACACTAAATATAAATCACATGTAGTGATTTTGATTTTAATCTTTTAGGGCCGTGGTATTCCTGGACCCCCTGTGAGTATCATCTCGTGGTTTATTTTTACATAATCTATAGAAATGGCCTACTTCTCAGATCTCAACCTGGCTCTCCAACTAACATTCTACCTAGTGGTGTTTATAGTGTCCCACCTGTGTGATTATAGGTGGCTACTTTGACAGCACCCCTCTAATGCTAAACAAAATATTTTATTACCTTCAGAAATTTCGGTTCTATTTGGAATAATTAAAATTTTGTCAAATGGGTTACTGTTTCCCTGGAAACCAGAGCCAGTGCGGATGCATAATTCTGAGCCAGTTGTTTATCATTTTGGATATCATTTGTGATAGATTGTGAAAACATTCACAAATCATCATGTCCCTTTAATTTCTTGACTTCAGGGTCCACCTGGGGGAGCAGGTCTCCCTGGAGAGCTCGGACGTGTTGGACCAATTGTGAGTACTACAATGCCTTTTGATAGACATTTGCTGATTTAAAGATGATGTTACTAGGGAAGGCAAATTACCCAAGCTATATGTTACCCCATGAACATCCAAAAATGATGGATGAATTTTATTCCAGTTCATAATACTGATGGGGACCAAAGATAAGAATGCTACATTGTTTTGTGCAGTGATTTTAATTTTCCCCAAAGTGTTCAGCTAAAATTTTCTCCCCAACTTCCAGAATTAGGGATCAAAACAGAAGTGTTACCTCTGTTTTATAGAGTCAGCCAGGATTGGGGTTCATGTTGTTTTTTGCTTTAGACTTTCTGCATGAAATGTAAGCTAAAGCCATTGTCACATGTATTTATGTTAGGGTCATTACATTCTAATCAAATGAATAGAACTTATCTTTAGGCAACGAAGAGCTGAACTTCATAGAAGAAATTGCTGGTAATAAGTGTTTGATGTTAATATTCAATAAATATTTAAAACATGTTGAAGTACTGATATATGAAGGATAGATCATTGTAAACTCATTGGGAGTAGGAGCCAAGTATTATATACCTTTCTTGCTTACTGCTTAACAGATTTACTTACTGAACAATTGAATGAGTGTGAAATTAAATTAAACTTTAATAAAGTTAAATTAAATCTAAGATGCTTTTTAAAAAAAATTCTCACCCGAATATATTTTTCTATTTATCTTCAGATAGAGTAGGGGGTAGGGGGTGGAGAGAGAGAAAGAGAGAGAGAGAGAGAGAGAGAGAGAGAGAGAGAGAGAGAGAGAGAGAAGAGAGAGACACGTCGACCAGTTGCCTCCCGCATGACCCCAACCAAAGCTGGGGACCGAACCGCAACCGAGGCATGTATCCTTGACTGGAATTGAACCTGTGACCCTTTGGTCCATGGGCTGATGCTCCAACTACTGAGCCAAACTGGCCAGGGCTAAGATGCTTTTGACTTCTTATAGTAGAACATTAAGAAGGAAATGTATGTCAGCAGTAAACTCTGGTGATTAAGACTAATCCATTTTCACTGAATGGCTTGTTTGAATTGAGCTGTCTTTGATCTTCTGTCCCAATTGCAAGAGACTGCAGTGACAGACCAAGTGACAGCTTGTGGGTGACAAGCACCAGAGAGTCTGGCACTGCAGAGATTAGCCTTCCATTTCACAGTTTCAGACTGGGTGCAAGCCTTCGTTTGCTGCAATTAGATGGGTGGCACTAGCAGTAGTGTCTGTTCAGTTGCTCTGCAAATCAGCTAGAAAAATATGTAATGTTTCCAGAATAAAGAAAGTGATCATTCTATAGAGAGTTGGCTTTGCTTTTTCCCCCATGTCTTCCTCGGCTTTGTTTTATTACTTTGGTGAGACTAGAACTCCTTTACTTTTCTGGTTTTGTGGAGCTGATTGGATTGTGGACCGCCCATTGATTTTGGTGACAGGTCTGCGCAAGGCTGAGCTCTGTAGGGGTTTCATTCTCTCATGCCTCACCAGTTCTCTGCACTGTGCTTTGACATGTATCTAACCTCTGTGTCACAATTTTCAAATGACTTAGGGTGACCCTGGGAGAAGAGGACCACCTGGCCCCCCTGGACCTCCAGGACCCAGTGTAAGTTATTTGCAGCTTAAATTTCTCTGCATCTAAAAGTTGGAATTAAAGAAATTTAAGAACCAAAAATGAAAAGCACCTGTTAATTGAGTCATTGTCCTAAAATTCCAAAATAGCTCCCAGCTTTTTTCACCCATTCAGAACATGGTTCTTTTTAGACCAGAAAAGTAGAGGAATCACAATAATGTAAAAGGTAATTTTCACAGGGAATGGCTTACTCATTATATTTGAAGTCCTTTGATGTTTGTGATTCACAAATGCTCAAAACTTGGACACACGAAAGTGCATTTTCAACTAGTTTTTACAAAGAATTCACACAGTAAGCAATAAAAAAAAAAGAAATTTAAGTAGAAGATAATCTATATTTTACATTTATGATGCTAAGTTCCCCATATTTTTTATTCTATCTCTCATTCCATTTCCCTTCAATCCCCTGAAAGAAATAATCTACTGCAATTTAGGGTTCTCCAAAGGAAATATACTCCTGAGCCAAGTTTATATTTTTATTTTTTCCTCTTGGTGCATGAATTGACGTTCAACCACTGAGCTACACTGGCCGGACCTGAGCCAAGTTTTTAGAGTATTAGCATATTATATGCTCTTTGTTCCTTATATTCTATTGAACAAGTACATTTAGTATATTTTTGTCTAGTGAGCTTTCTATTATTAGTAGGGTTAAGTATATTTAAGTATATTCTTAATTGTAATGTTTTCTTAACTTTAGGGATCGATTGGCTTTCATGATGGAGACCCATTGGTAAGATGTTTTCCTTTGAACAAAATACAGTTTTAAGGTAAAGATCATGTAACCTTCAGATGAATTCTCTTTAAACTTATCTTACTGGAATATGCTGTATTTCTGTGTCTTACTTGACTCAGATGGCAGAGCAATAAGTAGCTCTAGTGGACTGGTTGCTTGTCGACCCCCAGACTGTAACCTGTAACTGTTTTTATAGAAATATCTTTGTTTTTCAGTAATCATTTTACTTTATGACTAAGGCTTTTTTTTTTTTTTTTTCACCAGAGAGCCCTCATTTTAAAAGATAGATGTCAAATAACTCCCCTTGAGACTTGCTTTACTTATAGAATGACATGCAAATGATATTGGTAAACTGCACTAAGTGCAAATTCGGCCAGTTTGATGAGGCGATGTGAACCTCAGGATAGAGCTAGTCCCGTGGAGGGGGACGGGGAAGAGACCAGGTCATGGTATAGTGGCTTAGCTGGAAACATTTTATTTTTTAAAATAAACTATATCTGAAATAAGTATGGCAAAAATATTAACATTTATTAACTCTGGATGGTGGATACATGGGGGAAAGGGTTTGTTACATTCTCTGTACTTTTCTGATTAAAAATGAAATAAAAAAAAGGAAAGGTTTGTTCCAGGTTAATTAATGAATATAATTACATTGGGGTTCTGTGGTTGAAATCCCTAAAAAAAATACCACTTTTTCACAAAGCAGAGGTTCTAGTTTATGCACTTCCTGTCTGTCTCTCTGGCAGTGTCCCAATGCCTGTCCCCCGGGTCGCTCAGGATATCCAGGCATACCCGGCATGAGGGTAAGACAACGGTTTCAGTATTTTATTTTCAAGAGTGTTGTCCACAGACAAAATAGAGCCTTTCCTTTAAGCACCAGCCTTCCTGGTTGCAGGACCCCACTTGATGGATCAGACAAGTCTGTGTTTGCTTATTCTGTGGCTTAAGTTAGTCTGTGGTCCTTACTCAGTTCTGGAAATTCCTGCTGGTGCCCCTGACAGTTCTTCCTACCAAGACACAGATGTTTGATTATACAGTACCTTTTGTTGTTCAGGGAAGAAATACTAATATTGGATTGAGAGACTTTAGGACACCAAATTAAGGTTCCGAAGTTTGCCTTCTATGAAGGGTCAGGGGAATTGTGCATATCATGTATTTGAAACTCTTTAGTTAAAAAAGTGAAAAAAACTGCAAAATAGGCAGGAAAAGAGATGTTCAAAAAGCATTTTCTCTCACTCTGTCATTATAATTACTTAAAATTTTCCATTAAAAAAATACTAAATGCTAGGGTTAAATGGTTTTCTCTCTCTGATCTATGAGTCTGAAGTGATTATTAAAAAATATCGGGGCAGCGGAGCTCTGCTGTGATCTGAAATGCCCCAAGGCACCGGTTTTCCTGTGATGGTTTTCTCCAAGTTTAGTTTTGGTGGCTCCCCACAACTGCCTGGGTTGATGTCTTCTTATTCACAAAGTGTACTCTTGGAGCAAGAAAGCTCTGAGAGTAGAAGCTCTGAGAGACAGAATGTTGGAATGTTCATTTCATGTTTGCCTCGCGTGACTGCTCAAAGCCCATGTGCTTAGAACAGGTGTCCTGACAAGAAAAGATAGGGCTCCTTTCTCATGCTCTGCAGCCTCACTGACTGCTTCTGAGAGATTTTCTTTTGCATTTATAATCGTGTACAAGAAGAGGCAGGAGGTTGTGCATCTGGGGAAGTCCATTTCATACACCAGCCCTTCACCTCCAGGAAGCAGATGGGTGTAGAAGAGGCAGAGGGTTTTCAGAGCAGCCTCCAGAGAGCAGGGGACACCTACTGAGTCAGGTCAGGGCTGTCACCTCAAAAAGTAACATAATGGGAAAGACAATGTTCTTAACTCAACTGTGAGAGGAAGCTTGGGCTGGAGGAACTTATAGTCAATGAATCATGTTGCTGAACCAGGTAATGGAGTTTTGTTATTCTAGAACATTGTTCTTCTCTGAACTAAAATTGATAAAAACCATATGTAGCAGTCATGTAGTACACATGGCATTACTAAGGTAGTCACACGACCTTTTTCTTAGCAGCACATTGGCACAGATTTGAGGAAGCAAGATCACTTGATGAGCCATATCCAATACAAGCATTCTTTTATTTGTTTCCTTGTCTCTCCATTTATTTATTTACTTTTGTATTTGTTAGGGTCATAAAGGGGCTAAAGGAGAAATTGGTGAACCTGGAAGACAAGGTCACAAGGTAAGGAAATTGAGTATTTAATGGGTTAATTATGATTAGGAGGTAGTGATTATTTTATTATAAGGAATTACAAGGAATGATAAAGCATGGTATTTTATCCTTCTGTTTCAAAAGATAATCGACAAGTTCTCAGTAGATGCATTGATAGTCGAGCTAAGCATAATATTCTAATGTTGTTCAATTAGAAAAAGCAAAGAACGCACCATAATTTTCATTCTTTCCTGCATTTTTTCCCTTGCTTTCCTTTTCAAATCAATCACACTCAGTTATTTTTCATGACGTTTTAAGTAGTCAAACCTTATTCAGCTAGTTTTTGCCTCCACTAGACAAAATTTTATGACAAGTGTAAAATTTTATGATAAGTGTTGCTGAGACTATCAAACAGAAAAGTTGGTAATTGGCTGATAGCTTCTCATCTTCAGTTCTGCAATAATTTATCTATCTTGTTTTGACCTTATTTTACTACAACTCAGATTTTGACTCATCTGAAAGTTAGCAATAGGAGTTGTGTTATTATCTGGATAAAAACATGGAATCCACAGCACAACCTGCGCTGCGGCTGGCATGCCCTGCAGGAAAACTAAGGCTGAAATTTAAAACCAAGTGGCTCATTTGCCCCTTTTCATCCTCTAGTGTAAATCTTCTTTAAGTGTCTAAGAATTTGACTTCTTGTATAGTAGAATTTTTGTCCCTGTTAGTTCTATAGTATTTCCCAGGGTCAAACTGTTATTATTAATGCAGGTTGTATAGACTTTGTTGACTATACTCTTCTTTATTTTTATTGGGTAATGGCAGAAAATTAGTATCTTTCTTTGTTTCTTTGTTTTTGGATGTTAATATCTCCAGGCATTAAAATACTTGAGTTCCTTAGCAAAAAACAGTCTGTGGAACAACCTCAGGTAATCAGGATAAATAAGCCCATTTTTTGTACCTTATTACATTTTGGACACTTATTTTTATTTTTTTTTATTACTTAGGCTTTGCTTAAGTAAGGTATTTTATTCATCTGGACTATAACAGTTGGGTTCTTAATGTCTAACTGGAGAAAATAGAAAAGAAATGAGTATTCTGGAAAAGCTTCTGCATGCCTATTTCTCCACCGAATATTAAAATTCATAATTTAAAAATTTCAACAAATATTAAGTACTTGCTATGTACCAGGGTTTATTCTAACTGCTAGGGCCACAGAAGTAAAAAAAATATGTCCAATCATGAGGGACTGGCTAAATTAAATATGAAATATCCATATAATGGAATATTATCTGACCACAAAAAATAATGTGTAAGAATATTAAATTGCTCCAAAAGATAATCATAAGATAGTACTTGTAGTAAAGCAGATGTAAACCTCTTTTTTTTTTTTTTTTTTTTTTTTTTATCCTCACCCAAGGACATTTTTTCATTTTTTGTTCAGATAGAGCGGGAGGGAGAGAGAGGAAGAGAGAGAGAAACATCGACGTGAAAGGGACACATTGAATGGCTGCCACCTGCATGACCCAACCAGGGCTGGGGACAAACTGCAACCAAGGTACATGCTCTTAGCGGGAACCGAACCTGGGTCTCTCTGGACTGCAGGCCGACGCTCTAACCGCTGAGCCAAACTGGCTAGGGCAAACCTCTATTATTTTCGATGCCTTTCATTCATGCCTTCTTCTTTTGGTGACCCCTTTTCTCTAGGGAAAATCGAATCCCCCATCCCATGGAATTTGACAGTGGAGCTGTCTATGAGAGTATCTCTCCACTCTCCCCATGAAACCAATATTTTTGGTACCATACAATTTAGTTATCTGGATTCTCAAAGTTGGTTAGGTCTTCAGTGAGGAAAATGCAAATTGTTTTGGTGTGTGAGGTAATTGGCCAAAATTTTCATTGGAAATTGTTAAAAACTCCTTTAATTTATACACATTTGTGTCACTTAAATCTTTCAGTGGTGTCTTTGAAAGTTGACATATGAAAATAGGATGATAATTGCTCACTGAAGAATGAACTTTGAAAGGGCCCATAGATGCACAGAACTGTAAAATGAGAGCAGAATGATGAAGAATTAAGAAGCTAGAGGCCTGAAGTCTGCATTCAGATTCACGATGCTGCCTTGAATTTACTCAAATTACTTTAGTATTAAATTAGTTAATAAAGATTTTAAAAATTATTTATGATATGGGAATGAACAGTCAAAAATATTTCAGTAAAATGATATTAAACTTCGACTTCTAAATTTGCCATTTAACTTTGTGCTTATTGATTAATTGTGTGTTATTCATCTGCTGGTGAAATATTTAAATCGAGTACATTACTCGGAGGCTTATCAACAATCTATGGGAAATATCCAAACCCTGCTAATGAAAACTGACAATGGATGTGTCATTTGCTGTTGTTTTTGTAGTTAGGGAAATTCAAGTAGCATTTAATGATATCCATCTGTTGATTATCCACTCCATGAACCAGTAACTCCCTGGCTTTCCCACTGGGACTGCCTCTCGCCACTGTCAGTCATATGTTCTTATGGAATTTAATCTGAATATAATAATGAGACTAAAACTACTATGTAAGACTTATAATTCATTAAGAAATTAAGTATAAGTGATTTAGGCATATACTAGTCTTTGCATTATATGTCTAAGTTTTCTATGTTAATACTTATGTTAAATTTCTGTATTTCCTTGTGTGTATGTGTGAAAAATCTCTAAATATGAGATAGAGCATGTGGAGCAAGAACATTGTGAATTGAAACACGAAGTAAAGAACAATAAAAAATTGATTTTTTATCTAGTATTATTTATATAATATTAAAAATGAATTTTTCTTATGACTAATTTAACAATTTAAGATATCCATTATCAAAGTAATGTAGGGCAGTATATCTATTGCATAAAATAAAACCCTTGTCAGAGAGAACATAACTTTTTTTTTTCATTTTCTTTTTTTTTATCCTCACCTGAGGACATTTTTTCATTTTTTTGTTCAGATAGAGTGGGAGGGACAGAGACAGAGAGAGAGAGAAACATCGACGTGAAAGGGACACATTGAGTGGCCGCCACCCACACAACCCAAACAGGGCCAGGGACAAACTGCAGCCGAGGTACATGCCCTTAGCAGGAACTGAACCTGGGTCTCTGGACCGCAGGCCGACGCTCTAACCGCTGAGCCAAACTGGCTAGGGCGAAAACATAACTTTTTTCAGAGTCAATAAAGTAATCTTTCTCTAAGAAACAACAGTTGGATTTCCTTTTGGAATATATTAACATTTAAAAGTACATGAGAGGTTATAAAATTGCTATCTAAAAGTCAAAATAATAATTAGTTAGAAAACATAATGAAAGAAGATTCCATTGGTAATAGCTACCAAATTGTCAAAATACTTTGGAACAAACAAGAAATATTTAAGATTCATATGAAGAAAAGAACAAAACTTTATTGATGGAAAGAAAAAGAAAAAGATTTGGTTAAATAGGAAGAAAAATATAGAAAAACTCAATATTGTAAAGATTCCAATTCTCTACATATTAATCTATTGATTTAATGCAGTCCTAATATGAAGCAAGTAGTATTTTCATGAAGATCTGCCCAACAATTTTTAAAGTTCATCTGGAAGAGTACACATTTAGGAAAACTAAAAAATTAGAGTAACTGTAAATGAAAAATACAGGTAAAAGAATTCTCTCCACTTGAGATTAAGGTATCTTATAAAATTTCAGTAATTAAAATGTGGCATTGGCAACATCATACAACAGATCAGTAGAACGGAATAGAGAGTCTAGAAACAAGTATATTGAACAATTTAGTGTATTAAAGATGAGTTATCCAACTTGTGTGGAGAGAATGTATTATTAAGTAAGTGATAGTGGAACAAGTGGACAAGGACCAGGAAAAAAGAAAATAGACTTATATTTTACATAAAAATAAATTACTGATAATTAAAGATTTCTATTATAAAATTACTAGAAGAAAAATATGGACAAATATTTATATTTTTGGGGTAGAGAAAACTTTTTTATGACTGACATCAAAGGTATAAACCATGAAAAGAAAGACTGATTTAAATACATTAAAATTTTGTATATGGTATCAAAATGATAGTAAGAAAAGTTAAAAATAAAAATCATGACTAAATAATATTGTAATTTATGGAAAATTTTTCATAATATGATTTTATTTTTCTAATAATATCCCCCAACACACACACACCTGAAACATATATATGTACGTGTTCTCTCTCTCTCTCTCTTCTCTCTCTCCCTGTCTCTGTGCCTCTCCCTGGCTCCCTCTCTTTTCCTCCTGCTCCCCTTTCTTTAGAAAAGCATCTAAAATGCTACTGAAATTTATAGTTGAAAGGTGAATTTGGGTGGCTTTATTTGTATATTTCTCTGTATTTTTTTAATGTTCTACAATTAATATAGATTACTCATGTAAAACAATTTTTTAAGGTGTAGTAGAGTGATTCAGGGGATGCCAAACAAGTTTAAAATGTGCTGATTTAGACCAAGTCTATTTTTTGTTTGCTAGAATAACAGTAGGTGTGCTTCTCTGTTGCATTTTTAGGGTGAAGAAGGTGAACAGGGAGGACCAGGAGAAGTTGGAGCTCAAGGACCTCCAGTAAGTATTAAAAAAAATTTTAACTAGGACGTGCAAATATTCCCCCCCCCATGACATTTGAAATATTTTCCATTTGGTATTTGGATTAATAGTATTACATTAACATGATAGTCTCTATTTTTTTTCATCAAGCCAGCCTTAGGAGATTACTGTTTTTTCAAAATAGAAAAGATCTCCACTGTATATTCAAGCACTGTTTTAACAGAAAAATTCTACATATAAATACATACATTCATTTACTAGATTTCAGAGCTGGGCAATCTGAAAGATACTGAATACAAGAGGATGATATATATTTTCTATGTTCCATGGTACTGTTAAATGATATGATTAGTATTTTTGTGTATCTTGAATATTCAGCAGGTATATCATCTACTGGATTTAACGTAGCTTATGCTGATGTGTAATCATTTTAATTAGAACATTCTTTTTTTTCCCCCCTAATCCTCACCCAAGGACATGCTTAGAGAGAGGAAGGGAAGGAAGGAGAGCAAGCGAGCAAGAGAGAGAGAGAGAGAGAGAGAGAGAGAGAGAGAGAGAGAGAGACATCTATCGGTTGCCTCCCATATGCTCCCTGACCAGGGATCAAACCCGCAACCTGGGTATGTGCCCCAACCGAAAAATCAAACAGGCAACTCTTCAGTGCACAGACTGATGCTCTAATGTCTGAGCCACAAGAAAATGGAATTGTTCTGCATTATTGTCACAATGAGTAATAACAATTATGGAAATAATAATTTCAGGATATTCATTGAATATTGTAGTTAGCCAAGGTATGCACTATAAAACATAAGGTTGGGTCCTGTTCTCGAAGACTAAAGAGTTAAGAAAGACAGCTCTGGCTGGTTTGGCTCATCCGTTGGAGCGTTGGCCCTCAGCCCGCAGACCGAAGAGTCGTGGGTTCGATTCCAGTCAAGGGCATGTACCTCAGTTGCGGTTCTGTCCCGGACCCTCTTCGAAGTTGTTCAGGGAGTGTGTGTGTGTGTGGGGGGGGGCATAACCAGTCCATGTGTCTCTCTCACATCGATGTTTTTCTCTCTCTCTTTCTTCCTCCCACTCTGAAGATAAATGAAAAAATATCCTCCAGTGAGGATTAAAAAAATGAAAGGCAAATATAGGGCCACCTTTCATTCCCTTGCTCCTTGCACAACTGGCCTTTTATAAAGGGTTCAGGGAGCAGCGCAGACTAGCGCTTACCACAGCTGATGGAAAATCAAGCTAAAGGAAACAAGTCAGAGAATCTGAAAGAAATGGGCTCTGCTTTTCCGGCACACGAGAACTTGAAGAGAAGCTGAGGAGTCCAAGGCGTTTGTTCTGGAAGCTTGCCTTCCTTGAGCCTTTGATATGAAACAATAAGGAGATCCTCTATTTTGTGGGTGGGAAATAGAGATAAATAGTGTGAAAGATATGTACTTTTTCTGATCTGATGAAAGTTCGATAGGGACTTAGAAAGTTATTTAGAAAGCCATTCCCAGTGATCCTATGAACAGGATTTTGCAAGCAGCATTTATAAAAGTGTTCATTAAATAAGAATTTCTGTTGGATGCTGCATAGCTCAAGTGGGCCATTGGGGGATATGATTAGTGCTTGCTGACCTTCTGGGGTTTGGGAATGGATATGTAAAACTGTTTCTGTAAAATTCAGAAGCAATGCACGGATTTTTAAAAATCCCTTTTGGAACAATTTTAAGCAAGCTCTGCCCTTCAAAGTAGTCACCTTGAGAAATGATACATGGCATTGTCATGTCATAGCTATAACTCAAATATCTTTGGAGTTCTTTTTAGAATTACCTTCAAAAAGAGCAGTTTTAATCTGATATGGCCACAGCCCACATTATATTCTAAGTGGATCCCCTAAGCTGGACCATCCTGCATACTTGTATGTCAGGTCAATCTGAGCTGATCTACACAGAATTTGTGACTGACCTGGATGCTGAGTTGGCCATGGAATTGTCCCATTTGCTCCAATTGAGAGCACATGGAAAGTAAGTGGCCTGGAGCTACTTTACTTTCAGTTGGTTACAGTGGACAGTCGGCAAGTTGTTCAGAAGTCCCTGCCCCGCTTCCTGATGGGGCATCCACCCACTGCTGCTCCCAAGAGAGCTCTTAGCTCACGCTTTACAGGATTCACTCTGGAGCCCTGCTGCTGGGGAGAGTCAAGAATGGTAACATGTCAGTATTAAAGGGATACTAGAAATCACACTCCACACCCTCATTTTTAGGATGAGCCACTCCTGTGCCTGAGATTGGGCGAGATGGGTTCCTACTGGGCCAAACTTGAGTTTGGAATGTACTTGTCATAGAAATCGTGTAATGAGTCATGACTACAAGTGGTTAATGGAGACTCCAGTTCCATTTGTAGGTCATAAGCTTTTGTGGGTTAGCCTGGGAACCTAATTGCCTTTGATGGCATACATTAGGGAGGAAAAATTATTCCAAGGTTTAAAATCATGACCATGTTACATGTAACCAATTTATAAACCATGAAGTATGTAGGAATGGCAGCGTATTCTGTATCTGAGTTAAAAGCTACATCATATACGTTACCATGATTCTCTTATGCTAGTGATACTTGTTTTTTATCATCAGTAATTGTTCCAACTCCAGGTTTGTTTAAGTTTTCAGAATTTAAAAACATGATTTACCATCAGAAGAATTCTCCTTGGATTTTTCTTTCTAAACTAGAAAAGTTCATCTATATAATGTCACTATTTGTTAATATTACCTTTGGTTATGATAACATCCTTCTTCTGAATCCGCTTTTGTGATGAGATAAACGAATGTGTGGTTCAACTACAAGAGTTTACTTGTCTTTTTTATGTTTCCAGGGAACTCAAGGATTGAGAGGCATCACCGGCATAGTTGGGGAAAAGGGAGAAAAAGTAAGCTGATGATGATATAACATCAAAGTGTATAAATGTTTAAAATCTTGGACATTTAAAAATATCTTCTTATCTTCAGCAACATCACTTTTTATTTTTCATTTGGTGCTTTGTAGATGTTTGGTCAGGGTCTCACATATCTGTTATAATTATAGCCAATAGAAATGAGTACTATGCATAATACTTGTCATGTATTTTTATTTTAAATAGGTAAATAGTAATAAACAGGGCTGTTATATTTTATCTCCTTATTATTATCAATAGTTAACATTGATAATGCTGATGCAGTCAGTACCTGCAGAGCAAGGCTAAGATAGGGGAAGATGGAAAGAGACAAATGAGAGAAGGGATGATACCTGTAAAGACACTAGGGCCACAGCGGCTGTCCTGCTAGGCTGACCGCTGACCTCTGACGTTAACAGAGATCATACGTCTGTGGCCGGAGTTCACCAACTTGGTCTTGGCCTAGTCTCAGAGACCAGATTCTCCTAGCATTTCTAAAGTAAGGTACTCTGCAAGATGCTGGGGAGATTCAAAGAGGAATAAGAACTTCTGCAAGTTTGCTATTTATTGGGAGAAAACAGATAGCTAATTACAGTGCAAAGAAGGGAGACATCCATTTGAGGGCAAGTGGCATGAGGGAGTGAAGATGGAGTAGCTGACCTTAATGGGAGAACTGGGAGGGCCCAGGAAGGAGCTGGCATTAGAAGGAAGAGAGGTTGCTGCTGGCAGAGGATAGAGGCGAGGGAATGCTTGGCTGAGTGATTATCATAAGCAAAAATAATGGAAACCTGAAAGTTCATGATGTGCTCAGAAGTGCTTTTCTCGCTCTGTATGTGTGCATGTGCATGTAGGGGCGTGTCTAGCTTCTTTTTGTGTAGTAAAAAATGATTTTGTGAGCAATTTCTTCAGTTTTATTTTTTGCAGCCTCTTTGTCTCTCCATGGTATTCTCATTCTGCCTGATTTCCTCTTTTCTAGAAACACTGTACTTCAAAACACATATTTTAAATTTCTATATTCATGTTACCTTAAGCAACATTCTGTGTGTATTTGTTCTGTTATTAAATAATAAATTTCATTTATTTCAAAGTTGCTGATACTCAGGCCTTTGCTTTTTTCTGGGTTTAAATCATTCCTAATATAGGCGATCCTTCACTTTGAAACCAATTACTGATCTTGATACGCTTTTAATTTGAGATATTTTTCTACTTGGTATTTTTCAAAATTTTTCATTTCCTCTGATTTCTGTCAAATTGCTACCAATTAAAAAAAAAAAAAGGTCTTTTTGTGAACTCAGACCCATGGAGTGGTTACCTAGTAACGGCAGTTTGAGTCTGAGCTCTTGCTGAACAGCATGAGAAAAAGTGCATCAAAGCTATTTCATTTCTATAATGCAAAGGCTGGGCGTCGCTCTCACAATGCAGGACGGATGATGAATTCGAGGTCTTTCTCAGGTCTTCCAAACCCCTTCTTCCCCGGTGCAAGCAGAATGCCTACTGCTCTGTTCTAGTTTGTAGGGATCAAAGAATTTCGGGGCTCTGTGGTGCTTTCTCTGTGGTGTTCTTTCTTTGATTTTACCTATGTCTGAACCTTCTATCACAGGTTTTCTCATTTTTAATTCCTACTACAGACTCTGTCCACCTGGTTTCCTTGGCCTGACATCTATTCAATATTTTTTTTGACTGTTTCCTATTTAATTTATTATCTCCCCTTCTCAACCCTGTTCATTAGGTTGCCTTCCTGCCTTCTCATTCACTCAGTAGAGGAGAAAAAGGTTTAAAGAAGGAGATTGTATTTTGTCATATAGCATATGTAGACAACACCGAACACCACCATGCATTTGTTTTAAAACCACATTTTGATTTTTATAATGAAAATGAGATTAAATGTATAATATATAACCAAATTGGAGACAAGGTCAAGATATTAGATTTATAAAGATTCATAGTTCTTATGTCACCCATTGCTTGGTAGGGTGACTGTTGTTGAGAGAATAGATCAGTTACTTTATGCAAACTGAACCTAACGTCTGCCCAGGATGGGAGAGGGGCTGCTCAAATCCTTTTTAGAATTCATTCTTCCAAATCACATGGCTGGACTTCCGGTTCTAAATCTGATTCTTTCTTGATGGAAGCCCAGAATCCCAGACATCCCTCCCACAACTCTAGCAGCAGCAGAGTTCATGGCAGCTATTTTTGAGCGGCTCCTTGGTCTTCACTATGAATGAATTCCCACGGGAATTCCAAGAGTCCTGGAGGGTGACTACTAAACGTCTTCCAACAGATTTTCCAAGTTCCTAAGTGGGACCCGGTGTTTTCAGTTCATGTCAGCATTCAAGAATGGGTGCAGTATTAACCTAAAATATCCAGGGTGCTATCAAAGCTTTGGTGTAAGTACTTTTGGTGGGATGAGATGATGTAAACTAGAGTTTTCATATTTCAGGTGTCATACTAACTACTTCTTGGAGGTTCACTGATGAATCCCAAAACCTCCTTTTTATCTGGCTATTAAAGTTCTTTAGAAAGATTAATGTGCCCTTTAACATACATAACTGATTCTATTTTCATTTCTCTGTCTTGTTTTTTTTTTTTTCAGGGTGCTCGGGGCTTCGATGGAGAACCTGGGCCTCGAGGTATTCCTGGTGCACCTGTAAGTAGTTTTCCTTTTACAAGACCCAGTGATGATTTTTTTTTTTTTTTTTTAGCAATGATCAATGATAGATTTTTTTTGCTATGTATGTTTATGTGCAGATGTCTTTTACATGTGAATAATAAAAGTGGAAAAGGGGCAATAGTTTTTATGTTTATTTAAAACATTTTAAATTAAATATCTCTTTCTTGGGATAAGATAGGTTTTATTTTTCTCATAGGTGAAGTCAAATTGTTATGTTTTCATGTTTGCTGTGTTTTCCTTTTGTTTTGGTGTCACGGCATTTAAAATTACAGTAACTATCTCGTGTCAAGTTCTTGGGCAGGTCTATCCTTTTCTTTCTCTATGATCTCTGATCTCATTGTTCCACATTTTGGCTGCCATAGATGTGTCATTATTAAGACTGCCTCATACCTTTTCCAGAAGCAAATAAAAAAAAGCCATTCATTGATGATAACCTATACCACATAGAAAGTAGAAAAAGTATAAGTAAAATAGAATTTTCAACTATCAAGTTCCTGTGGTTCGGTGAGAAAAACAAAATGTAACTAAACCAGTCAGTATGGGATCAAGCAGGAGAGCATGTGGTAAAGGTAACCCAAGCAAGAGGACTTCGAGGAGGCTGGTCTGTGGAGCGGCAGAGTACAAGTGAGAGGAAGCACTGTTGGTGGACGAGGTGCTGTCGTGGAGGCTGCCCCTGTCTGGAGCGGAACTTTCCTGTTGAGAAGATGAATTGAATAGATAAGAGAACCACATTGTGGAGAATGTTTAAGGCCAATCTTAGCAACAGGAACCGATCCAGGAGCAGTAGGAAGCAATTTGAGGTTTTGGAGTAGGTACACAATTCAACGGACGCTGTATTTTAGGAAGACACATTCTCTCATCTGTTGCCACTTAGGCCATATATGAACATTAGCTTGATAATTTTGACAGCAACCAGTATTATTCACTGGAGAATTAAATAATATGGACAAAAGGCTGGCAACTAGTCCAAACCTCAACCCACCAGGATTATCAATGGGAGTCGCTGATATGTACACATAGCTACAAATGTCAAAGTTACTTGCAGCATGGACCTTGAAGTTAGTATACCTATACATCCGAAGAGCACAGAAGCATATGCATTTAAGATAAAGTAAAAGACAAGTCTCAATGATTCCTATGGAAAATCATTTTTTAAGGCATAATTTTTATAAAGATTTCTTGAGCTAGGCATCCATAATAGAGCAAAGCCATTGAGATAAAAGAGCAATAGTGAGGTAATGTAGATGGTATCTTATAACTTCAAAAGTCTATCAATAAGTAACTTTTGCTTATAGTAACAACATTTTATTTTTGCACAGGGCGATCAAGGACAGCGAGGACCTCCAGGAGAAGCGGGTCCCAAGGGAGATAGAGTGAGTTCAAATTAGTGTTCATCACTACAGGCATCATGCTTTTCAGTGTCATCTGCTGATTATGCTTACCTCTTTGACATGTCCTAAGTATTGAGATAATTGAGCACATTTTGTCTGTTGTTTCTCTTCTGCCCTGTAGGGGGCTCAAGGTTCTAGAGGAATTCCTGGCCTCCCTGGATCCAAAGGAGACACGGTATGTTTTGAGCAGTAGTCATCAAGCACATTTTTCAAAGTGATTATTAACTTGTAATAGATCTTTAGGAAATAATGAAGGGAAGAAGAATGTGACTGTTTCTAAGAGACAGTGTGTTTCTGTGTGTGTCTTTAGGGCTTGCCAGGTGTGGATGGCCGTGACGGGATTCCTGGAATGCCCGGGACAAAGGTAGCTGTGTGTCCAAGAGTGAATAGGGCCATCTCTGGCCCGGCCAACCAAGCTTGGCAGTTCCATTACTACATCACTGGGAGATTCGTTTAGCTCTTTTGGCTTTCTTCCTTCTTTTAATTTTTTAATCAAGTGTCAATTCAAAATGCTTATTAGAATAGTATGCTTGTTTGCTTGGTTTCAGGAACTCAGTCAAATTGTCCCATTGATAAAAGTAGGCTGAAGGAAGTTACATATTTTGATTGAGTTTATGTCCTAAGTCCTATCCCACCCCAACCCCTGCCCTTAACTGGGTCACATTGTAAAAGTGCATGTAAGGTCAGCGGTAGGGATAATGCTTTTACTTAGAAGCTCCGAGTCCTTCTATTTCTTAAAAAAAAAAATACAGCAGTTTATACAGGTTCTAAGATATGATGCAAACTTTTTTTTTTTTCTTTTCAGGGTGAACCAGGGAAACCTGGGCCTCCTGGTGATGTAGGATTGCAGGGATTACCTGTGAGTACTTAATTCTTTAAATGCTCACTGGTTATATACATATGTTGATTTATATACATGATATGAATTTTGGGGAGAAACATGTTAAATAATTTGGTAAGTCCTGGGGAAGATACTGTGCATTAATTTACATTTACATTTTTGTACTTTTTCTTTGAGTAGCTAGTTATTTCTCTAATAACATACTAAGCTTTAATTTTACACTTTGAATCCCTCTTCTCCCTTTAGTTCACTTAATCTTTCTTCTAGTTTTTCACTAACCTTGAACTGTGGACCAGTGTCATACACTTTCTGTTACTTTTAACCAGTTCTGAAGTTCCTATTAGCAGGGTTGAGCTGTAAAACAGTTAAGAGCATGCTTAGGAACAATGTGAGACGTAAGATACCAGTTTTTGATTATGTGCTAATTTGAATGATTCAAATTGGTGTTTCCCTGCATCAACGTGGCTGGAAGTGCATGTGGATTACACCACATGTATGCTTGGCTCTTTGGAGTCAAATATTTCAAGTTAATAAAAATACTTGGTAATACTGAGGACTGGCTTCCAATTTATTATCTGCCACTTTAAAAATAATTAGTTAGAGAATATTAGGATTCCCCATAGTACCAACTCTTAGTTAGACTCAGCATTCTCTTGACATTCTTTTTTAAACTTAAGCCTAAGTGTTTTGATAGGTCCTTGTTTTGTTATTCTATGCATGAAATCATGCTCGTAAGCACTCCCCTTGACCTGAAAGTGGTACTGAATTGTAATTTGGAAGTTCATCCTTGAAAAATAACTAGTTTTGAGGTAGGCTTTGCTTTATGGGTGTTTGGGCTCAACAAGCCAGATACAGTAAAGTCATTCCTTCTAAACTGTGTGTGGTTCTGTAACTGTTCAGAGTTGGAGAACTAGGAAGAATCTTCCTCACATTAAGTCTTTGAGGTTGTCATGGTTCCCTCAGCCCCTGGGCAGTGCCCAGTAGACTTGGCACCTCACAGAGCCCCAGGTAAGGTGATAAAACCTATGTTCTGTGTGCATTCTTTTAGGGTGTGCCTGGAATTCCTGGTGCAAAGGGTATTGCCGGTGAAAAGGTAAAAGCGTAAGACTTTCAAATTAATATTTTTCTTAATTTCTTTATTATTTTATTGATTCATTTATTTATCATTTTTAATATTTATAACTTGCCTTTTATTTTATATGTGACCCCAAGGAGAAATCAAAAAGGCTTTACATCTTCAAATGCTAATCTCTCTTCCAATTGCAGAAAGAATACTTTGACAAAGTGTTGCTGGTCAGATTTCCTTCTTGAAAGCGTTATCTTTTGCTAGTGTAAAACAGAGAAAGTTTTATTGTTTTTAACCAAGTGAAATAAGGGCGATATTATTAAGCCATAGAAATTATGCCGGATAATATTATTAAGATGGTTTAGCTTAAACTACAAAGATATTAGACATGTTGTTCACATACTGATCAATTAGTGCTTATATTTGCCTATTGTTTTTAATAGATGAGAGAAAAAATTAGATAAAATGTGAATAATATAGACATTGGGTACTATTAGATCCTATGGCCACAGTCCTCCAATCGGAGTGGTCCACAGCATCTGAGTAGAGCTATTCCTTATAAGTGGATGGTGAGAGATTGATGGGAGCCGCATCATTTCTCAACAACACATCCTCTTCTATTTCCTCATGTTGACATGATTGTTTATGATTTTAATAGTGTCAATGTCAGGTAAAGGGCTCAAAGAAGTATATTGGAGGTGGAGATGGTAAAGGAAAGACATATAATTAATATAGTAAAGAAAGAAAAATCCTCTCATATTCTTGTTAGGTTAAAGACCTTTATTTTTTGACATTTGACATTCATTTCTTTTTGACATTTTTTTACACCTCTTCTATACTTCTGGGAATAACAAAACCTTATCCTGAATCTAAAGAACTGTGGTGTGTCCACCAAGAAAGAGAGAGTACATCCTCCCATGTTCTCAATGTGAAATCAAGAAATTAGTGCTGATTAAGTGTCCTAAATACCTGGGCTGAGTGAGACAGATTGAGATTATGTTTACTTACTGTCTGATTTATGCTGCATTTTACCTTTAGGGTAACAGCGGTGCTCCAGGGAAACCTGGCCAACTGGGGAATTCAGGAAAACCGGTAAGATGCCATAAATTCTTTGCACACATTTTATAACCTGTTGTAATCACCAAGCAAAAGGATTAGGGAATGTTAACTTTTTCTCTACATGTCTTCCTCATAACAGGGCCAGCAGGGGCCACCAGGAGAGGTGGGACCCCGAGGACCCCGGGGGCTTCCTGTGAGTATTTCTTTCCTTAAGACCTTCCCAAAGTGCCTTCTCGGGGCGTTGTTGGACACCTCCCGCCCCCCTCATTCATTTATTCATGATTGTTTTCTGATGTTTGAGCATGTGCTAGTCTATACAGACAATGAAATGGGAAAGCTGATTAGGCGTACAATACGCTTGTTTTCAGAAAGTGGAAACAAAAATTAACTGTTTTAAAAAAAACATGACAACCTTTTCTGCTCTCATCCCATGTTGAAGGAAATATTTTAGTGTGATTAAAGAAACAACTTTATTGAGAGAGAATTCATATACTATATCATTCATCCACTTAAAGTATATAATTCATTGAGTTTTAGTATATTTGTAGAATTGTGCAGCCATAGTCACAATAAATTTCAAAACATTTTCATCACCCCCAAAAAGAAATTCTGTATTCACTTGTAGTCATTCAACTTGCCCCCCAATCTCCTCAGCCCTAGGCAACCACTAATGTAGTTTCTGGAAATTACATATAAATGGAATTATACAATATGGGGTTTTTAAACGATTGGCTCCTCTCATTTAGCATAATGTTGTAAAGCTCATCTCTGTTGCACTATGTATCAGTACTTTATTTTTATTGTTGAATACTATTCAGTTGTTTGGATGGACCACATTTTACTCATCCATTCATCCATTGATGCACATTTGGGTTGTTTCCACTTTTTGGCCATTATGAATAATGTTGCTATGCATATTTTTCTACAAGTTTCTGTTTAGACATTTATTTTCATTTCTCTTGAGTACATAGCTAGGAGTGGAATTGCTGGGTCATGTGGTAACTCTATCTTTTGAGAAACTTCCAGACTTCTTTTATTTTTGTTTTTGTTTTTTTTTTTTTTTATCCTCACCCGAGGACATTTTTCCATTTTTTTGTTCAGGTAGAGTGGGAGGGAGAGAGAGGAACAGAGAGAGAGAGAGAAACATCGACGTGAAAGGAGCACATCGAGTGGCTGCCACCCGCACGACCGACCAGGGCCGGGGACAAACTGCAACCGAGGGCCGTGCCCTTAGCGGGAACCGAACCCGGGTCTCTCTGGACCGCAGGCCGACGCTCTAACCGCTGAGCCAAACCGGCCAGGGCCTGCCAGACTTCTTTTAGTGTGAGTTTGTAAATATCTATTTTGCAGCAAATATAGCAATGTATATTTTTTCAATAGGTATAATTTAACCTTAAGAGAGAAGCTTATCAGGAAATTAAATATTATGCACTTAAATTTAACTCTAAAAAATTCTCTCTGGCCTTATAAGTTCTTCATTTTTGAAAGTCTGCTGGGCAAGAAAAAGAACTCCAACTGAGCAAACAAACATTTTCAATCACTGTGACTTACTTCTTTTGAAGCATTTCTTGAGCATGTTGAATAGGGATTTTCATGCTTTAAGAAAGTGAAATTTTCCAGGTGTCTTGTGACATGTGAGTGTTTTCACTTCTCACAGATATCTGTCAACTGATGTCTACCAGGTGGTTTCCACTGGTTCCTCTGCAGCCAGAGGAAGTAGCCCCTGCTCCTCATTAGACTCCCTGCTTTCTCAATCCTCACTTATCCTTTCCTTCTCTCTTGCTTGAAGCCTGTGAATGCCTAATTAAAATACTTTCTGTAGACGATCAAAGCAATGAAGTTATAGCTAAATCACACTTCCAAAATGGTGAAGATGCTACATGGCTGGTTTAGAAATATTTAACAGTGTGGGAGAGGGGCACTGGAACACTGAGCATGTTGACTATTATGTCTAGTAGTCACTATAGAGCAGGAAACGACACAGAGGAGCGCCTGCTGTATGCCAAGACTATGCACTGAACACAAAAAGGGGCACAGGTAGAGAGGGCTTGCCCATCGCCAGTAAAGTGCCATGGGATGTACAAAGCAACAAATGGGAGGCAGACTGCAGAAGGAGATGAGGCGGGGTGTGTGTGTGTGTGTGTGTGTGTGTGTGTGTGTGTGTAATATTCTCATATGAGGACAGGGGGATCAGAGGAAATTATGCCTGTGCAGGGTTTGGAGCTTGATTAAGGTTTTGATTTTTGTGTTTTTGTAAGAGTTCAGGTTGTTCCTGTCCCTGAGGCTCAAAGCTTTGGTGTCCTTCTACCTTCATCTTTCCTATCTCCACTGGGACCTTTTGCTCCCACTGCCTCCTTTTCTAGGCTCTCTTATCTTTGACTCTTCTTTTCTAAGCCCACCTTTACCACGTTGGCTCAGATCACGCACTGCTGCTGGGATTATTTTCGTTTCCTGATTTGCCTTCACAGTTCCAGTCTTTCTTTCATCTACCAGTGTCTCCCCACAGGGTACTTGGTATTATGGCTGGGATAGTTCTGGGTTCTCCAGGACTCCTTCCTGCACATTGCAGGGTGTCTGGCGTCTATGACCTCCACTGCAGAATTCAGTGGAGTGTCCCCACAGTGATGGAACAGACAAAAATGTCAACACAATTCTGAAGGCAGCACCCCAACTCTGCATGCCTCTAGCATCACTTCACTTCTTCATTTAAAAATCTCCAGTGGATCTCCCCTGACAATGACAGAAAGTACGAAGTCCTAAACTGTCTGTATATGCCTGAGTTTTACTTCCCATCTCTGCCTTGGTCAGAGCCTGTGTTCAAGTCAAGCTGGACTCCATACACATTCTCAATTCTCGCTGCACTCCTCAGTCTGCCTGCTTTCTTGTCACACCCTGCATTCAGATGGCTTTCTGATCCAGCTTCCCATGTGCCTTCTCGGATGTAATTGAAATGTTAATTCCACAGTGAAATGATCTGATTATGCCCTGTCTCCCAGAGAGGAGTGATGCCTCCTTATTCTGAACCCCATCACCCCCGGCCCCTTTCTGCCTCTACTGTGGGAACTGTCGGGAGACAGGGATGCGTCTGAGCCCTTTGTTTCTGACATCTCTTTACTCAGGGTCTGCTATGAAGTAGTGTTCAATAAATATTTATTGAAAAGAACTGAATTGGCGGTATCATAAATCTCACTATGCTGCTTATATTGGTAATAACTGACTCCTGCCTACTATAAATTTTTCAGGAAAGTGTCATGAGAGGTTATAAATATTCTAGTTCTGGAGCAGAGTTTCTACACCAAATCTCCTTACTGAAAGATACATTTGTTCTTTCATTTTGCATCTCTGAATTCAGTTTTATAGACAAGTTCACACATTTTCAACTAGTGCTCACAAGTCTGATCAGTTTTTCTCGCAGATCTCAAACTGAGAAGCTGAGTAGAAGGAACAAAAACCACTTCTAATGTGTCCTACTCAGGGACCAGAGCCAACTGAAACACATCTTTGGGATCAATTGTATTCCCCCTTTCCCCATCATTGTTCCGTCACCTTTGACAAAATACTCACAGCAACATATACTGAAGTTTTTTGACATCTCAGGTGATCACGTGTGAGCACATACCTTTACCACTTGGACCTGCTTCTGGCTTTCACCATGACTCTTCACCTGGTTTATACCTGGGTCTGGGCAACTCCTGATCTGGAGCAGGCAAGTGGCTGGAGCCTCTGTTTGGTTTCGCCATGACGTGGTTCCTGGTCATTTCCTCTTCCAGGCTTCTCAGAACTTACCAGGGCTTTCGCTGAGTGGGTTGGGTTTGTTCTACCCTCATGACTCTGACTGGGATGAGTGCCTTGCTGATCTACCTCCAGTTTTCCAAAGATCTATGCCCCTGGGGTACAGAAGCCTGTCTCTTGTCTCTTGAAGCCCTCCAGAACCACCCTATCACCAACAGTCTCAAGCTCGAAAGTCCCCATAAGGTGTGTTGTTAAGCTGTCTACCTACCCCATCCAGGCTCTGGAATGTCACCCCTGTCAACAATTTGTGAAGTGGCGGTGGTAGTTATAGTTTAGACAGATTTTCATCTACCTCTGTGTGTGAGGGGATATTGAAACCTACCCTAGACAGATGTAGAAATTATATAATTCTGTGAAATTGAATAGATTAAAAAAAATCTCTGTGTCAAACCTAATAAATATTTTTGTAGAGGGACGAATGTGATCTTTCAAAGTTAATATGAAAATGGGTTTGTAAAACAACAATTGATAGAAATTATAATTGATCTTCTGGGTTAATCAGCATTTTTTTTTTTTTTTGCTAAAGAGAGGCCCTTAATATATAATACAGACTAAGTAGAGTGGTTTATAGTTCCCATTTCTAAAATTGGCAAGGTACTAAGGATAATGTATATTCTTCAGCTAGTTAGCATTTTGGGTAATTAGGCAAATACAACCACCATCACAGTCTAGAGTACAATGAAATAAAATCCTTTTTTTTGGTGTGTGTGTGTGAAATAATTATGGCAGCACAGGTATAATGGATTTCTTTTCTGCGATATTTTATTTTATTATTATTATTTTTTATCCTCGCCCGAGGACATTTTTTTGTTCAGATAGAGTGGGAGGGAGAGAGAGGAGGCGAGAGAGAGAGAGAGAAAAAAAAACATCGATGTGAAAGGGACACATCGAGTGGTTGCCATCCACACAACCAACCAGGGCTGGGGACAAACTGCAACTGAGGTACGTGCCCTTAGCGGGAACCGAACCCGGGTCTCTCTGGACCGCAGGCCGACGCTCTAACTGCTGAGCCAAACCAGCCAGGGCTTGCTGTGATATTTTAAAAGTCTAATAGTTCCATCTTTAAAGGGAGACTTCCAAATAGAATTATTTATCTCTATTTATTGAAATGAGTATTACAAAGTAGCTCCTCTTATAGCAAGTCTTCAAATAACATCATTTTGTTCAGCATCATTTCCTCGTAACATTGATGAGATGCCATAGGAACTTAGCTCTTACTTATATCAGTCAGCCTATGGTAAATGTGGTTTTGTTACACATTGTTTCACTTAAAGTTGCAGAACCTATTGATGTTGAGTGAAGACTTGCTGTCCTCTTTTATAAAGAAGGTGCCTTTATCATCCTCCTGCATGCCCCCTGCTGGGGATTTGCCCCACAACCTGGGCATGTGTCCCAACTGGGAATTAAACCGGTGACCTCTTGGTGCATAGGTCAATGCTAACCATTGAGCACACCTGCCAGGTTGCACCTTTTTTCTTTTTTTTAAAGCCTTGACTGGCTTTTTAAATAGGGATGAATTGGCTGGTGTGTCTGAATGTGTTGGAGGTCTATGTGGTGGTACAGAACTTCCAAGAGCAAATTAGAGCCTTTTATTATGGTCCTTACATTTTTAATGGTAGGATGTTGCCTTTGTCTCTGGTTCTTTCCAGTTCTCTTGTTAAAAGTCAGGACTCTTGCCCTGGCCAGTTTGGCTCAGCAGTTAGAGCGTCGGCCTGCGGTCCGGAGAGACCCGGGTTCGGTTCCCAGCTAAGGGCACGTACTTCGGTTGCAGTTTGTCCCCCGCCCTGGTTGGTTGTGCAGGTGGCAGCCACTCGATGTGTCCCTTTCACGTCGATGTTTCTCTCTCTCTCTCCCTTCCTCTCTCTCCCTCCCACTCTATCTGTACAAAAAATGGAAAAATATCCTCTGGTGAGGATAAAAAAAAAAAAAAAAAGCCCTGGCCGGTTTGGCTCAGTGGTTAGATCGTCGGCCTGCGGTCCAGAGAGACCCGGGTTCGGTTCCCGCTAAGGGCACGTACCTCGGTTGCAGTTTGTCCCCGGCCCTGGTCGGTTGTGCGGGTGGCAGCCACTCGATGTGTTCCTTTCGCATCGATGTTTCTCTCTCTCTCTCTGTTCCTCTCTCTCCCTCCCACTCTACCTGAACAAAAAATGGAAAAATGTCCTCGGGTGAGGATTAAAAAAAAAAAAAAAAAAGTCAGGACTCTTATTGCCATGGGGTTTGCAGATACTAGCCACTGGGCAGAATAACCATTTTGCTACCAGACTCCCTCACCCACCTTTGAGTGTATGGTTATCATGACAGCTGTTGAAACGTAAAAGATTTGTCATTATTTAGCACACTTGTGGTTACCAGGTCAGGGTTAATTGCTCCCTGCAGAATGTGTTTAGTTTACTCTGTCCTTTTAGAGATTTCTATGTATATCTTGATTACTCATAGTAGTCTTAATTACAGGTGAAATTCCGGAACTTGGAGAAAGATAATGCATGTTTTCGGAATACACAGAAATCTTAAGAAGGGCCATCAGAAAATCTTGCCCTAACACTTTGTAGCTGTTTGGTCATTGTTGTAAAAATAAACATTCCTTTTTTCTTCACAGTGAGATGATTTGTATAGAAATCCCTAAGTTTTGAATGGCCAAGGATTTATAGGATGGAAATTAAATATAAATGAGGAACCACATGCTCTGTGTGCAGTAACAGAGGAGCAAGTGCTCAGCTCCACAGATCCTTCCCCTGTCCTGCGTGTGCCGGCTGCCATGGGTGCACAGGCTCAGCAGAGCAGGCTGTCTATACTGGAGTTCTGAGCTACCCATAGGCATCGCCAAGGGCCTGCCAGTGGTTGAAAAATACTTATGAACTGAATAATAAGAGCTCACGAGAGACAGAGAAAATAAGATTCCAGCAGAGAAAATCCTTGTCCTTGATTGGAAAGATAATTAATCTCTCCAAAAATAAATGAAAGATTATACAATCCTTTATTTTAATTTAGCCCTTTCACCGTGGAAGAGAAAAGAAGCACTATATTAATCATCTTTATATTGGATAAGATGGCATAATGGTTCATTTACTTAGAAGTGAATGGTTGAGGTTGTGTCAAGAACAGAGTTTTCCCCTTCTGATATGATTAATTATTTTCTCCACTGATAACTATTAATTGTTCTGTGAATTAAAGTCATGTTAGCTCAATGATATTTAGGATCTCAATCATGATGCTGTTCAGAAATTATTTGAAAATGCCAAAAGAGCAGATATACTAAAGAAAATCTGTCTTGAACTTCAAAGTGCTGGGTCAAATTAATGGGATGGAACCCAATCTTTCTATTTATAGATGAATAGAAAAATCTATCACAGTGGCTGGTTTTCATTTAGACTTACATCTTTCCAGCATCCATCCTTATAGGCACTGTCTCTGGCTTCCAGGGTTAAGGACCAACATGTTATCCATGGAAAAGATATTGAAGAGTTCACTTATCCACTAGTCAGGTTGCTTATATAAAATTTTGGAAAGTATTTGCCCTGCAGGGTGGTTCATTTGGTTTGAGCATCATCTTGTACACCAAAATGTGGCAGGTTCAATTTCTAGTTAGGGCACATACCCAGGTTGTGGGTTTGATCTGCAGTTGGGTTGTGTATAGGAGGCAACCAATAGATGTTTCTCACATTGATGTTTCTCTTCCTCTTTCTCTTTCTCTCCACCCCCTTCCTCCTCTCTAAAATGGATAAAAACATATCCATATCTTCAGGTGAAGATTAAAAAATAAAATAAAATAATTTCAAAAGTATTTAAGAGCATTTCATTTAAATCACCTATAAGTTATATGAAAATACTGCCAGAAATACCTCATAGCTAGAGACCTGTAATTTGGTAAAGATTTCTTACTCCTTTAGAGAAATAGAAAATTCTGTAGGTGTATGGATCTTGACACCTTATTCAACTTACAGACGAATGAATAGCATATGGGTCAGATCAGGATGATCTTATCAGAAGCATTTATCAATATTAAACATCAATATGAAGTTGTCATGTCATTTTAAAGAAAAAAGAACTCAAAAGACTACTCACTTTTATAACATTGTCCGGGAAATGTGATTATTTATGCAGTGATTTCAGTGTTCAGTTTAGTGGAACATGCGTTAAATAAAATAAGCTTTCATCAGACTGCGTAAAACTGTATACGGTCCTTAGGGAAAGATATTGAAGAGTTCATGTGTCTGCTCTTCTCAAAGGTCTTAACATCTCAAGTACAAATTGAACTTGGCTCAGAAAATGAAATTAGAGTGTTGCTTTTGTTGCCTCTTCATTATCAATTGCACTTTCCAAAATCTGTTTAATCTTTTTTTAAAAAAAATTTTTTGGTACGTGCCTCTAGTGGGAACCGAACTCAGGACTCTCTGGTCCACAGGCCAATGCTCCAACTGCTGAGCCAAACTGGCCAGGGCTATTTAATCTTTTAAGACATGTTTAAGACAAGAATGAGTAGGACAAAAATTTTTTATTTCAGAAACATTATAAATTTATACTACTTATGTTTTTTCAAAGTCGCAACAGTAGTTTACAGGCAAACTTTTCTGCCTTAGTCTCTTTTTCACTCTTCTGAGGTTGAAGATCATTTGCCAGATATTGCTTTAAAATGGACTGCGCACCCGAAAGTTTACTTCGAGTTTTAGGCATAGTGTGGAGTTCAAAAGTAATAGATCTATATTTCAAGAACACATAGTCCAAATGAGGGGATAAAACATGTACGTGATTAACCATACTATAAGTGAGACGGTGATGTAGAGGCTGAAAATTACTGATTGCCGTTTCATGCAGATGCATCAGTTATTTCTACCTGATGGTCTGTAACCACAGTGAACAGCGTAGATAACATTTGCTGAACTATGAACACTGAGGAGGCTGTAGGCACTTTATAGAAAGGTGTCTGCCTTTAGTCGAAGATGTGAATACTTTACAAACTTATATTTAAACAGAAACCTTGGTAGGATATTATTCTGTTGGTATAGTGATTCAGCTTTTGCATGTTGGCACGCTAACACGCTAACAGGAGACAATTGCGTTGTGTTTTTCCAGGGTAGTAGAGGAGAAGTAGGACCTGTGGGACCCCCAGGCCTCCCAGGTAAACTGGTAAGTAATGTTTCCAGTCTCCAGCAGTTTATTTGCTTCACACAAAACACAACACATGTTTAAAATATAAGCAAGGAGAGCAAAACAATTGACAAAGGGTAATTTAATCATCCTTTCTTGCTTTTTATTGTTGCGTGAATATGTGAAAAAATATATCATTTCAAACGATATTTAAAATGCCCTCAGAGGGTATTTTCATCGGTGTGGTTTGTAGCATACATTTTAGAACCAGGAGAGACATCGGTTGCTACATTTGGCCTCTGGTTGTTCTTGGAATTGGAGAGCACTGAGCTGAATGCTGCCTTTTTCCTCCCCAGCTGTGCTTGTTTACACAGCGAGGGGGGGCAGTGCCATTGCAGGGGTGGACTCAAAGGGCCCACTGTCGGGAAGGAGTGCAAGCTGGGGAACTGAGGGGCTCAGCGGTGGGACGGAGTGGTGAGGGGAGCTGGTCTCTGCTCCTGGAATGCGGGAGAGAGGCAAGTGTGAGGAACAGTTACCCAACCACAGCACATTTATTTTAGACCCAAGGCCTGTGAGCTTTCAGTGCAGCAGTCGCTGTGATCCTAGGGACTTTGTGTTTGCTTTTCAGGGTTCTCCTGGCAGTCCTGGCCTCCCTGGCTTGCCCGGGCCCCCCGGCCTTCCTGGGATGAAAGGTGACAGGGTAAGAGATCTAGCCTTCTGGAAAGTCCCGTATTTGAAAGTGATTTCTACTCTGCTGAGAAACCAATCTTGCTTTTGGCTTTACTTTTAGAAAGTTCTAAATTTTCTAGAATTCATCACAGAGGGCTATCAAGAAAAGTATTTGAAATTACCGAGAGTTGAGATTAAGAAGCAAATAAAATCTATTACTATAACATTTTATCAGAAGGAAGAAAAGTAACAATTTCTGTTGTAATCATATTTTCCATTTAGTTCTAAATGCACATTCTTACTAGTTAAATGTGACCAAGGAATGCCCCAAGTTGTCCAATGCCCTGGGCAGGACAATTGTCTTTCTCCAGGTCTTATCTGACTCTCGTTAGCTGGTGAGGAAAGGGTGATACTCTCTTCTTTCACAATATCCATATTTGTGCATATTTGTGCAGCCCAATAAAGGGGGTTGGTTTATTTCAAATTGTATAGATAAAAATACTATCACAGAAATATAAAATATAAAAATGCTGAAAAAGTATGATGTATTATTCATTACAGGGTGTGGTTGGTGAACCTGGTCCAAAGGGTGAACAGGTAGGTCCTATTTGAAGAGCATAAAAGGCAGTGTTTAATGTGCATGAACATGCTTTGCCAGCAGGGGACACCAGCTGGTTTATGGGTTTAATTAAAATGTTGGAGGCTAGTAGATTTTCTCAATGGGTTTCACAGCGAGTGGAACCTAGAGTTTAGTTCGGTCTGCAGCCTTAGTCACTATTTTAATGAGCTGGAGCTAACGATGGCTCTTCCTCCAGGACTACACGTTGTTCTTCCTTTGAAAAAAGTAGCCCTGCCTCTCTCCGTCACCGAACTGGTTTACTCTGCTGAAGCCTTCCAGAGCCACATCGTAATGTTTTAAGTTTCTCTGTTTCAAGGAATTAGCAAATAAACTATGCATATGAATTAGAACCAGTCAGAACCCTTTTGCAAAGATTCTATAAGATTGCTACAGTCAATAATCCTTCCCTTGAGCTGAAACTCAGCCTCACCTTGCAGCTTTTCTCAGGCCATTTTCTTTTTGTTTAGTTTTTCACATATGGATTTAAAACAAATTTTATTTTTCAATTACAGTTTACATCCAATATTATTTTATATTCATTTCAGGTGTACAGCCCAGGGGCTAGACAATCATATACAAAGTATTCCCCCCAATATTTCCAGTACCCATTTGTCTAGGACATTTTCACTTATTTATTTATTTTTAATCCTCACCCAAGGACATGCTTAGAGAGAGGAAGGGAGAGAGGGGGAAGGGAGAGAAAGAGACATCGATGTGAGAGAGAAACATTCATTGGTTGCCCTTTGTACACACCCTGACATGGGAGTGAACCTGTAACCCAGGTATGTGCCCTCAGGGGAATCGAACCGGCAACCTTTAGGTGCACAGGATGACACACCAACTGAGCCACTCTAGACAGGCGAGGCCATTTTCTGATTTGGCCTGGCCAGTGACAGCGAGATTGGAAAACCACCAAGAGCACTTTGTGTTTCTGCATGATCCTGGAAGCAGTTTGGCCCGTTATAAAAGCTCATCAATGTTGTCTGGTTAAAACTGAGCCAAGGGACGAAGGCTTTTAAATTGTGACTTTTAATCTTAATTTTTAGGGTGCCTCTGGTGAAGAAGGTGAAGCAGGAGAAAGGGGTGAACTAGTAAGACATATTTTTTTCTGGTTAATGATGAAGACTTACTGATTTCAAACTGTATCAGAACATACATATTTTTCTTTTCTCTGATGTCTTTTTCTTTGCCTTCTTTAAAAGTTAAGATGTTTTTTATATACGATAACAAATGACTCTCCAAGATTATAGCCGAGATCAAGTAAAGCAGAGGGGAAACATCCCGAAGGTGATTGACCGAGCCCTAAACTTTTGGAGAACAAAGTGTTCCCTTAGACATGGTGAATTCTCTTGTGGCTTTATGTCCAGACAATCAGGGTGATTCTTCTGTGACTGTAGAAAGTCTGTGACTAGGACCTACTAAGGAAACAAAATTAAAGTTTTAGGGTACTTAGAAAGCTGTGGCTCACGAGTGTGACTGTGGGCATTCTCTATAGTTCAGAATCCTCCAAAAAAGTGACCCCCATCTCTATTTGTGGCTACATCCCCAGGAAGACATTAAGCACAGTTATCTTTACTGCCAGGACAACTAAATGTCTTGGCTCATCATTATGGGTTCGACACAGTCTAGCACAACCTACTGTGGAAGCTTATGTTTGGTCCTTTAGAGTGGGGGCAACAGATTTCTCATAATTCAGTTTCAGAGAGCTTTTAATGCAGTAAAAAAATTCTGGTAATGCTGTTTTTATTCAGATTTTTAGGATTTAGAATTAATACAAATGTAACTTCTGAATTAGGCAAAGTTTCCTAACTATTAAGAAAATTCTAAAAATAATTATTTCTATTTTAATTTTCTGTTAAAATTGTTTATTTTATGGACTAAGAGGATGTGTGAGTCATCTGTTTTGTAGTGGAGATGAAAAGATTTGCTAAAACTTGAGCTGTATTCATAACTAAAGTTGGTGGTGAAAGATTTTTAATTTTTTTCTTTTTCTTTGCATAAAAGCATGCATATTTGGCTTGATGAACTTTTGGGATAAGTTTTATTTTATTATTATTATTATTTTTTCTTTATTGATTTTAGAGAGAGAGGAAGGGAGAGGGAGAGAGAGATAGAAACATTGATGAGAGAGAACATCAACTGGCTGCCTCCTGCATGCCCTCCACTGGAGATTGGGCCCACAACCTGGGCATGTACCCTGAGTGGGAATCGAACCAGTGACCTCCTGGTGCATGGGTTGATGCTCAACCACTGAGCAACACTGGCCAGGCTGAGATAAGTTTTATAATATTGGTAAAGTTTGAAAAATAAAGTAATCAGGTTTAAATGTCTATTACGTTTTATAACAATCCTGGTTCAATACCTCTTGACATTTTAGTTCTCATTGCCTAGCATTTTAGATCTGGATGGAGCCTTGGACAGCTTTGATTCAACCCTATTATTTAACAGATATGTTAGCCAAGGCTGGGAGGTGCATGGCTCACACAGGATTACAAAGCTAAGGAGCAAAACGGAGTAGAATGCAAATTTTAAGTCTAGTGGTTTTCTGTGGTGTCAGGGTTCATCTCTGTTCATGGTTTTCTATAGATTTCAGCAGCATAATAACTTGTTAAATGTTGTTAGGAAACTATGTTATGTGAATACACTGTTCTAATATAATTTTGTTTTATTGATTTAGGGAGATATAGGATTACCTGGCCCAAAGGGAACTGTAAGTATAACGAACAGTAATGGTATAAAATATAAAAATATCAATAATGATGTAGAAAATGCAATGCTTTGCTTTATGAAATCATCTGTAAAATTCAATTCTTAATGGACTTACCTTCAAGGAAATGAATGTCTAAATTTATTCTTTAAGCAATGGATTAATCCAAAGGAAAAACAACAACAGAGTAAATGGATCTGCCTATCGATCTAACCATTCTAAAGGAAGTTTTTTTCATATTATAAGTGGCCCAATGAGTATATTACATAGTAATTTCTTCCACAAATGGGCCATTTTTAAAGAACTGACTTGTGCTTCATGGTGACGCGAATATAATTGAGTTTTGTTGGCAGTTGTACAATTTGTTGGCAAATAGTTCAGTAATTTTCTTAATCTCCTGTGTATTCTGTTTGAGGAAGTAAGATAGAGGCACACTGTGTAAGAAAATGTAATAGAGAATTATTAGAGCTAGAAAATGATTATCTCATTGCATTCATCATTTTATAGAAACTAAACTTATCTCCTTAGAGATGAGATGAATTCAGAATTATAGAACCAATTAGTAGCAGGCTTGGGATGATTTGCAATTTGAAAGGAATACCCATCTAATGCAATAAGAACTAACAGTATAAGAAGAAAAGATGAACTCAGATCTCCATCTCAGATGGCACTGACCACCAGCTGCCAGTTAGTCTCCAAGTCCTTCCTGTTTCTGGACTGTCCCCCACTCCTCTGTGTCCCCACCCAACATAGTATCCTCATGGCAGCCATGGTAATCCAGATAGAAAAGATAAAACACACTGTCTATCCTTTCTCTGCTTAAAGAATAACATTTTATGGAGCACAGTTGGATTCCTAGCAAGGTGTACACAACTTTTGTGGAAGGGTTCTCTGCCTTGCCAACCTTGTCTCATCTCCGCGTCCGGGATTTCATTCCTTGGCAGTTCTGTCTACGTGGCACGTGTCTAATGCTGTGTGCTGTTTGCCCAGCCTGGTGCATTCTGTTTCTTTCCTTCACACAGCAACCTCCTCCTTACACATTTAGCCCCATCTTTAGCACTACTTGTTCTGGGAAGACTCACCCAGACTTGGGTCCAGTGCCCAGCCCTGAGCTCTTTACACACCACCGAGTGGAAATGATTATGTTGTATTAACTTTCCTGTTTACATACTGCCTCTACACACCATGTGTCAATCCCAAGCTTCAAGTAGCATCTTTCTGCCTAAGCATCTTGGACAGAAATGGTTTAGGATTGAGAAGAATATAAAGGATAAACCTTGATAGAATCTGCTAATCAAGATGCTATTTCATGGTCTAGCAATAGCTACTAATGTTCAATGATATGTATTCGAACTATGAAAGAAAAAGTGAATGAACAGTGCAGTGGTCACTTCATTTAAATTTGGATATAATACTAAGAATTTGCTCCTAATTCATCACCTCCCTTCCCACCCCTGTCTTCTCCCACACCACCCAGAGAATACTGATAAAATAGAAGTGTTCTGCCCCAGAAACAGGGGCAATAGTTACTGACAGGAAGGTTTTTGCTGTCCTCAGTGATTTCAGCATAGACAAACTTGATAGTAGGTGGAGTCTGTTTCTACTTTGGCTATCTCTCCTCAACAGAGGAATTTCCCCCCAAAGACCTCATGATGCCCTGGCCATGTTTGCCCTTGATCTCCTCATCACAAATGTCTTCTCTCTTGTTCTAGCAGTATTTTAGCATTGCTGACAAGGTAATAATACACTGATGTGGTCTCCTTTGTTTTCTGCCAGTTCTCTAGCGCGTTTCTGAATTCATTTTGGCTTCTCCTCCAGGTTGCTTTAGAAGCCATTATAGTTCTGCACCCTGGTCTCCTGACAGCTCCCCAGCCTTCCACTGAGCATCCTTAGCTCTCCCTGCTGACGCTGTCTTTCAGGAAGTCTTTTAAGCCATGCCTTCTTCATGGGGGCGATGTTGACAGGTTGACTTAGATGAATATCAATTTTTTTTTTTTTTTTTTTGAGTAAAGAGAGATTGGAAAAACCACACTTTCTGAGCTTTCTTTAATATGTCTAGTGAAAGCATTGCTTCATCTCCTTCTTCCCTTCCGCTGGAAACATGAGCATGTTTCAAAGAGCTCTTTCTGGATAGATGTTGCCTATGAAAAGGAAGCGGGATTAAGTTGCTTTATGAACATTCGGTATCTTGAGCGCTAGCATCCCTTGCCACCTCCTGCTTTTTCATCTTCTCATTCTTATTCTGTAACAACAGTGCTTTGTAACTGCTATGCCGCAAATCCCACCAGAGGTAGTTTAACAAAAAGTGAATTAATTTAGTCTCTTTTTAAAGCGGCTATTACATGCAAGGACTCTTAAATCCTTTTAGTGGTCTGCTTTCAAGAGAAAAACCCATATTTCCCTTAGTGTATATGCTTTTGTGTTAAGGAATCAGTTGGTTTATTTCTAACTCCTTTAATATTTAGATTTTAATCTTTTCAGTACTTGAATTATGGACTTACTCTTTTTGTTTCAGTATTTTAAATGCATTGTTTTTAAATGCAACATTTTAAATATGGTGTTTCAAATGTATCGATTTAGTTCATGTTAGTATTTTATCATTCCATGATACATCTGGCATCTTCAAACTCTCCAAAGAGTGTTATAAAAGATAAATACCTTATGTTCTTAGAAATATCTTCATTTTATGCTTTCTGTATTTGTGACATACAAATTTATGTGTCTTGTAAAAACTCCGTGGCCTTTTGTGGCCAGAAAAGTTAACAAACTTTATTAAAGCCTAACTTGCTCTTAGGAAGTGGCTTACAATATGAAGAGTGTGGTTTTAAAAACGTATGATTTCAATTAACATTTTGAAATAATAACTATACAAAAAAGAAAGATTCTTTACTTGGACTGGAATTCTAAGAGATTGTGAGTTTATTGTGCAGCATTATGTTAAGTTTGTGTATTCATATTGCATCTCTACCAGTGACACATTACTTGTGTTTAGTTCTGGTTTCATAATGTGCCACTTTGTTCTAGGCGGGTAACCCTGGGGAGCCTGGCTTGAGGGGACCTGAAGGAGGCCGGGGACTTCCTGGAGAGGAAGGACCAAAAGGACCGCCCGGACCACGGGGCGTGCAGGGAGAACAGGGGGCCACTGGCCTGCCTGGGATCCAGGGCCCTGCGGTGAGTGGTGGGCAGTCCCCGGGGTTTCTCTGTGGAAACTGTCCCACAGGACAAGGGCTGGGGCAGCCTGGCCAAAGCAGACAGGGTTCTGAGCAGTGTGGGCAGGTGTCCTGTGGTGACCCAGCCACCAGTTCCCCGCCAAGCCTGCACGTTCACTGCGTAACAATGTCCTATTGAGGGTTCCGGGTGTCAACTGCCTTTTTCTTTTCTGCCCCAGGGTAGAGCGCCCACGGATCAGCACATAAAGCAGGTCTGCATGAGAGTCATGCAAGGTGAGTAATCACCACGCTCGGTTTTTGCTGTAAAGGAGGGAGATCTTGAGTAACACTAATGCCAGTTCTGTTTCGTCCAATGTGTCATCATCACAATAGCTTATAGCCTCAAAGAAAAATAAAAATATCACCTTCCTGCTTTTGTAGCCAGGGGTGTTAATTTAAAGAAAGTACACACACACACACACACACACACACACACACACACACACTTTTTCCCTTTTGAAACAATTCTCAAGTATTTTTTCCTCCTTCCACACCCTACCGCTCAGTGAGTACCCAGCCCTGCTTGAGGCTCTCCCTGTAGATTGTATGAGAAGGAATTGACAGACTTCATGTCCCCAAGAAGCATAAGGACATTATGGATACTCATGGACCATCTTTCTCGAGAATCAATAACTAGTATTTTACAGAAATGGTGATATATGTTCACATCTGTTAACCTTTATTTGAATTTACCTGTAGCTATGGCGATTGTTGTTTGCCATAGAGGTTTCAGAATCGGTCTCGTTCTGGAATCTCACTGAAAACGGAGGTGAGCAAATCCTCCCGGACTGAGCAGACCCTGTGACCCTGGGGCCTTCCAACAAGTAATTATCTTCCTCTGGCTGGAACCAGTCCTGGCAGGAAAAAACACTCTTCTTTGCCTGCTCATGAGATGGTCTAATTGGTCTGGTAGACTTGTTGAGTTTTCCAGAATAAAATTTTCACCTGTGTATTTGAAAAACAATATAAGTCTCTTCATTGCTGACATTTTACCTCGAAAGGATATTTCAATTTTAAACATCACATGTCCAGAAAATTGTGATTTTATGCTAACTCTTACTTATGTAAGGCACACTTAGAATACTCGCACTCAAACAATTTAAAAATGTTGGTCGGAAATGTGTTTCCAATTCATATTCTCCTTCACACCCTTAAGCTTTAAAATATATTACATTAGAATATTTCCCTTAGTGTATTTTAATGGGAAAGTGGTCTTGTTCACTATGGTTTTAGTGGATGATTCTTAATCTATTTAATGGTTCCTGAAAAGCTCACAGAGTTATTAATTTTTAAGACAGACTGTGACCATTTCCAGGAAGCAGGCTATTTTTAATGTTTATTGTCTATTCCAAGCACGGAAAAAAAAAAACAAACTTCTGAGAAGGAGAATTCTTAAGAAGTCACAAATTCTCAGAATATTTCAAATTACTTAAATATCTTCAAACTAAAAATGTGAGGCCAGGTGTCAAATGGTGTCTCCTTACTAATTCTGGACAATGTCCTTGGCTTTTGAAAGCTCTGGACATCCACTTCTACCTCTGTGAAGAAACTTATTTTCTTCCCATCCTGGGTCTCCCTCTAACAAGTCAGAATTCAGGTGACTGACACACTCATTCTTTTAGATCACCACTCAGACCAAAGCCCTGCAGTTTAGGGTTTTTTATCCCCGTCCCCTTGTCCCTGGCCTCACAATAGCAGGACCAAATATATCCAGGGAGGGCGGAATAAAACAGCACCATGAAGCTTCCTGGCAGCGAGCCCAGGACATTCTCACCACCAATTTTGAAGTTCTGGTGACACATTTTTTAAAAAGGCACTTGAAATACCTCTCTTCTCATTCGTATCACTTTCATGTCTCTGACTTTTCTGGGCTGTTTTGTTTATTATCTTTTAGAGCATCTTGCTGAGATGGCTGCTAGTCTCAAGCGTCCAGACTCCGGAGCTTCCGGCCTCCCTGGTCGGCCTGGCCTCCCTGGTCCCCCGGGACCCCCTGGAGAGAATGGCTTCCCGGGCCAGATGGGAATTCGCGGCCTCCCAGGCATTAAAGGCCCCCCTGGTGCTCTTGGTTTGAGGGGGCCTAAAGGTAAGCCTTTTGCCCAGGTGGGACCAAGGAACACACACTCCTGTTTCAGGTGTATCCGCGTGTCCCACCCAGCTCGCGATATTCTGTGAGGTCAGATGTATTAGTCTCTTTGCACTGGTGATGGTAAATATTAGAAAACAGTTTCATGGTCGTCTCTTGACCTTGCTGTACAACAATAGTAGACTGCGCGCCAGCATGGAGGTCCCTTGACTGTCAGCACCGATCTTTTCCAGTTATACTGTGGCTCAGACGTAGTTCAAAATAAACTCTGTGGGACCTAGTAAAGGATCATTCAGCTGTTTATTTATTTTTTTTTCAGACCCTAAAATTATTGGAGAGGTCTTTCTCCTAAGATGACAACCAGCCCTAGACTGTTGGTATCTGTTACTTAAACTAACAAAATGTGTTAGCAGGATGTGAGAAAAATTACGTCATGCATTAAAGCTACCTCTTTCTTCCTCTAAAAAGTGACATTGGATATTTGGTTTTGATGGACTTTTTCTTTTCAGCTCTGAAGTACAATCTAACTTTAGTCCTTCTTTACATGTGAAGGAGTATGAGAGCGTGTTTCTTTCCCTTCTACTTTAAGCACATTAAGCCCTTGCAAGCATCCAGTATTTTTCAGAAAACTAGGGTTGTGTGTTAGGTATTAAATAGGACTCGCAGAAAGACTGGTTGCCTCTGATGGCATTTTCTGGTCCAGGTAAGTATGTCAGCTTGGGGTGTGTGTGCCCTGGATCATTTACAGAGAGGGCTAAATAAAGTGAGGAGTTTCCTGATCATAATGAGTGACTGACAGCTCTCTGGGGGACTTCAGAAAGGTGTGGCATCAAAAATGAGGGAAGGACTTTTTTTTTAAATGGTGGTGCTCCAGTTGGGGTTAAATATTATGGTGTGGATGGTCAGAGGGCAAGCAAGCTGCCTTTTGGGATTTATAAATAAATTGCTGATGCTTTTGGCTAACTATATCCTCAGCTGGGATAATATTGTTAATTAAAATTTTTTTTGGTCATGTACAAGTTAATAAATGAGCCCTAATTGGGGCCTCTTGGAAGCTGGCACCATTTCAGAGCTTGGACAAAATCAGATATGGAGAGAGAACATCTTAAAGAGAACTGGAGAAAAATGTTCTCTGAGAAAATCACATAAACACTCATCGCTGTCCTGCTTTCAACGAGTAGCTTAGAAACTCATGCTGTAGGCGCTGTCCCTGCGGTTAGTGCCCCTCCACGCTGTAAACTATTTCTAAGAAGCTCCATGGCCTTGGGTATCTTCATGTGGTTGGCCCTTTGTGCCAGGGCCTACAATGACTCCCTCACTCTGGGGAGTTCACTTCGGGTCGGTGGTTCTGAAAGAGTGGCCCCAGGAGCCTCAGCATCACCGGAGACCTTGTTAGGAATACAGATTCTCCAACCCACCCAGACCCACGGACCGGAAACTCCGGAGGTGGGGCCAGCAGTCTGTTCTAACACGAACAGCCAGATGATTCCAATGCAGCTAAATGCACTCGTCCCATTTTCCTGCTGAAAGGGACATCTCATGGGGACTGTAGAAAGCAGAGCCCTATTGCCCTTGGTGGAAAGGAAGTCTCCATACTTGGATAGAGCTTAACCTAGTTTGAGTTAGTAACAGCTCTCCTCAAGTCCCACCTGATTCCTTTAAGGAGTGAAGCTGCTGACTTGCTAGGTTAGGAGGGTCTGCCTAAAGCTGCGTTTCTCAGTCTGGGCTGCACACTGGACCCGCCCAGGGAGCGTTAAGAATGACTAGCATCTGGGGCCCATTCCCAGAGATTCTGATTTAATTGCTCTGAGCATCGGGATTTAAAAATATGCCCCAGGTGATTTTAATATGCAACCAAGGCTGAGAACCACTGAAAACAAAGATGAAATGTTCAGGAGACTTTCTGGGAAGCTCTGAACAGCACTAAATTGTGGCTGGGTTGGGCTTAGTAGATCAATCTAATTTTCAGGGGGAGAGAGTATATTTCTATATTCAAAACCTGGGAAATGTCTCCACCATGAAGTCCATTCTGCAAGCATAGCTTGGTCATATAAGGGATTTCCCCCTAATTTTCCTTCAGCATTTATGACATAAGTCTTTAGTCTAGAAGTGATGTAGTTTTTTTTTTTTTTCTTTCTACAAGTCTGTCTCCCCAGCTCCTTCCATCCCTCTCTTGTCACTGGATTCTTTTAACGCAGCATCTTTTCTTGTTTTATTTCTTAAAATTTGGAGTGCATGCAAAAAACAGGAATCCGATTTTCTTTATCCGCCAATGCTGTCGGACATTTGGGAATGTATAGGTAACTGGACTCGACCTCTCTTGTGCCACCACATACATTCACCATAGCATTTAACAGAAAGCATCAAGTGTTTTACCATCCAAGGCTTACCGATCCCTGTTCCCTGAGAACAAGCACTTCGCCAGTGAGACATGACGTTCAGCCCACTGGAGACGTAGTTCATTGTCAGCAGTGGCCTTGTTCCTGTGCCTATAAGAAGGATGGTATGAGTTTTACTTTCCCATATTGTCACTTTGAGATGCTTTTCCTAGATAAATTGTCACACAAATAACAAAGAAATAAGTTTTACTAAAGCTTTTAACAGTTCAGGCTGTGTCTTAATTAAATGACTGTTTTCCTCCTAAAATATTACTCTGAAAAACACAGTGGGACGTTTTCAATAGGAGCTAGTACAAATAGGCCTCAAGTCCTACTCAAAGCTGAACTCATTTATATATGTGTTTTTGTTTTTCTTCCACATGTTTTATCCAATATTACACAAACGTATTAGGGCCGAGGCCCAAGCACTGTGTACATTTTACATGGGTTCTCAAGCAGAATCAAGAGAGACATCTAACTGGCCCATGTTCACTTTGCTTAGTGTTAAGTCAGACTTTTGGATCATTGTCATGGTGTGGATAAATTTTAAGTACTTATGAGTAAAGCTGTATAGTTTTTCAGATATTTCAGTGTGAGTCAGCCAGGCATGTCAATATGTAAGTGAAGGCTTGAGAAAGTATAGTCATAACTGTGACTAACACTTTTTAAAATATTAAACTGCTCATGTGAAGATAGGCCATCAATTATAGCTCTCAGGCCCTGACAGGGTAGCTCAGTTGGTTAGAATGTCGTCCGGATATGCAAGGGTTTCCGGTTTGATCCCTGGTGAGGACACACGCAGGAATCAACCGGTGAATGCATGGATAGCGGGAGCAACGGATCGACGTTTCTCTCCCTCTGTTTATTCTCTCTCTCCCCCTTCCTCTCTGTCTCAAATCAACTAAAAAACTGTAGCTTTGGAATTAATGAAATAAATAGCAACTAAGGAGCAATGAGAATTTATTTCATTTCAGCCACTCTTCGTACTGAGCTGTTTTTCTACTCAAACTGTATATTTTCTTTCATACCTTATCTAAAGCTGATTTTATACGCTCTTTATGTGTATTTTCTGACACCATAGGCTAACAGAGGTGGACCTTTAGTTCCCTGAGCCAATATTCGAACATCTCAAAAGAAGGCATGACCAGGGTTTGAAGAAGTAGGTTAACCGTGATGATAAGCAGAACCGGGCTGTGGAACGGCAGTCTGCTCTGTGGCTGTCTTGGAGCTCATCTGAAATTTGTTTTCCTGTGACCGATAACCGGAATGCACCATCACAACAAAGACAGCAGTCTACCTCCTTGCAAGCAACATTTTAAAGTTGTCATGGCTTCATGCTGAATGTGTTTAACTTTCACTATCTGTGTGAAAGTTGCATTTTAATTTATAATCTTCATCTCATGTATAAAAAATATGGCACATTTAAAGATTCTCTTCTCATTGCCAGTCTCCAGAATTGCAGTAATATGACATTTAAATTGCTAAGTTAACAAGAGGGCTTGCTTCAGCTGTTAATTTTAAAAATGCCAATTGTCATTCCTTCCCAATACAATAAGACTAGGTTGCTGATGAGTGTGAAAAAAAACTAGCTATGTGAATATGAGTTCATCCTGAGCTCCATGTCCTTACACAGTAGTTATATAAGTTTAAATTGTTTTGAAAATGTGGTCGATTCACTGTATAAATATTCACACAAAGACTTTTACAGTTAAAGTCAAAGTATGGTAACTATTTAAACATTCCTTCATAATGAGAGATGGCTGACTATTTGACTCATGCATTGATGGTTGTACAGATATTATTCCCTATTTTTGTTGTGTACATGACTTTGTTTTTTAAAATTATAACAAAGACTCAGTATTGAATGAGGTTGGGCGGATACCGATGTTTGGGGAAAATGATTATGTACAGAATTTGTTACAAAATACCACTGCATTTTCTAAAAGTGTAGAGAATAGTATAATGTTATACTAATGAGATTGCAGGATAATACCTTGTACTGGGAGAAGCAGAAGTCATTCAGGACCTGTTAACTAAGGTATTAGAGAACTTTGTTAATGAGGCCAAGTTTCTGGGTTTGCTCTCTGCAGGGGCCAGGATAATTAATGCAGTTCTGTTCTGTGACTGCTGATTCCCTAAATTTAATCAACTCTCTTGCAAATACACATGGATGGTTGCAATCCAAAGCATAGTCCCTGTAAACAATGAATCCATAGTAAATGTAAGCACTTTTGACAGCACACTTTAAATTTTGGAAATTGATTAATTTATTTTTGGTAATACCAAATTTACATTATTCAAGAATTTTAAAATGTATAGAAAGATATTTAGAAAAGAGCTTCTCTGCCACCCTTGTCTCCTATTTGCTGAGGCTCTTTTATTCTTCCCAGTAGGTCATCACTATTGTTAATTTCTTACACATCCTTACTAATGATGATATGCAAAGATATATAAATATAGTATATTTTCCCTAAATTCTCTAAAAAATAACTCATATTGTCCTGTAGTAAGTGATCTGGACCTTGTGTTCTTCATTTAACAATGTCTTGGAAATCATTTCAAAGAGCTTCCTGGTTCTTCTTCACAGATGTATAATATTCCACTCTGTGGAAGTACCATAATGTATTTAACTCTTTAATGGACATTTAGATTGTATTCAATCTTCTGCTGTAACAATAAGGCTGCAGTGAACACCACTGCATTATGTTCCATTTTCATACAAATACCAACATAAACTCTGTATTTCTAGAATAAATTCCCAGAAGTAAAATTATTGGGGAAAATGGTACTCCCATTTGTAATTTTGATAGGTTTTGTCAAATTGCCCTCCAAGAGACTGTACCAATTTACACACTTGTCAGCAATGTGTAATAGTGTATTTTTCCACAGATTTGCTGGCATATCTTTAATTAAATTTTGGAATTTTTGCTGATCATATAGGTTAAAAGAGCATCCTTGTTATTCTAAGTTTACATCAATTCTGTTATGAGAGTGAAGTCAAGGAGTTTTTAAAATATATTTAAGAGCCATTTTTATTTCCTTTTTTGACTTTCTTGTTCATGTATTCTGCTTATTTTTTTATTATATTGTTGATCTCTTTGCATTGATTTCAGGAACTCTTCATATTAGAGTTAGAACTCTTCATATCATAATAGAAAGGCCAACTGGAATGTGAGGTTGTAATTCTCCCTTGTTTTCTTCTGGTTCTTAAATTGCATTTAAAATATTTAATACATTTATAATTTATCCCAAATTGTGGTGTGAGGAATAGATCCAACATGTTTTATTTCAAATAGGTTACCCACTTTTTTAACACTATTTATTGAATTATTCAACTTTTTTCCCACTTTAAGGTGACACCTTTATTATAAGCCAAATTCCTATATGTTGGGCCTGTTTTGAGACTTTCTATTCTGTTTCACTGGTCTGTCTACTCATGTTATCAGTCCCACCATGTTTTAATGGTTTAATGTTTGGTGGAATTAATTTCTTTCAAGTTGCTTTTCTTTGTTTGGAGTTCTTATGGCTATTCTGTTTTATGTATTTTTCTACACAAAGTATAGAATCGCCTCTCTGGTTAAAAGAATTCTGTATTTTTATTGGGATCATGAAAAAAAATCAGCTTAGGGAGAACTGAGAACTTTTTATGATGCTGTCATTCCATCTGAGAACATTTTCCCAGTCTTTTTGTATCTTTTAGAAATGTTAATTTTTTTTCATGTTGGATTTGCATATTCCTGATTAAACTTATCCCTTGTATTTACTATTTTAATTGCTATTATAAGAGGTATTGTTTTTCACTACTGATTACTGGTTGTTGTTTATATATATAAAAATTATTGACTTCCATATATTAATTTTGTATCTTGCTACTTTACTGAATTATCTTGTTTGTAGACTTTGAATTGATTTTTTTTTAGGGTTTAAGATATATACTCATATCACCTGAAAACAGATGGTTTTAACACCTCAACCAAATGATAAATAATAGTTGTAAAGTGGGCATCTTTATAACATTCTGACTGTAGTGGAACTGCTCACCATGTTTCCCATTAAGCATCGTGCTAGCTTTTGGGTTGAGAGAGTACATTTTTTTCATGCAAAGGAGGTAGCCATTGATTCTTATTTTATTGACTGTTGCATCAGGAATGTGTATTCAATACTTTCCAATGTCTTTCCAGTATCTATGACTATGATTATTTGATTTTCCTCCTTAAATATATTATTATAATTAACTTGATTTTTGCCTTACTACAATGTAGTTTGTGGCATCTTGATGAACTTCTGGTGTCAGAATTTGGGCTTTACTTAAAGTTTAAAATTACTGAACTGGATTTTCATAGACATCTAGAAAAATAACATTTCTCTAATAAATGCAGGTGACTTGGGAGAAAAAGGGGAACGTGGCCCTCCAGGAAGAGGTGCGAAGGGTCTGCCCGGAGCTACAGGTCTCCCAGGTAAGCGAGTTGTATGGCAAGAGGAGGTCGAGGAATGGGTAGCACATGGGTAGGCTGGATTAGATAATGTTTTAAAGAATTGCTCCTTAATTACTTGAGAATATCATGTGATACTCAGGAATGGCTGGCATCCATTTTCCCAGACCAACTTTAATGAAGTGTTAAGTGATCTCTAAATCATATCTGTATTCTTTGTGGAAAAATATATGTCAGGACTTGAAATATTAATTTTTAACAGATTCTTAAAAAAAAAAAAGGTTGGTCCAGTCACATGCACTTATTATGCAATTCTGAAGGAATGGGGTCCTCTCCATTTCAAGCCCAGCTGATAGTTTCCTGTTTTTTAAAAATTTTTCACGAAAAGTCAGAGCAACAGGAAAATTCATTCGTTTTCAAACTATTCATGTTGCACAGAGAGAAACTAAAATTTTATGTTAAAAGCTTCTGTTTCAAACACCCTGACCCTCCAGAAAACCATATCCAAAAAATAAATCATAAACCTGAACATTCCTATCTGTAACCACAAAGAGCCACGCACAAACCACATAGCACTGCTCTGTCAAGGGAGGCGACAAAGCAGCCTGTGTGTGAGCCCCTGGCTTCTCTCAGTGGGCGTCTGCTCTCCCTTTACACACTGCTGACTCTGTCCCCGGAGTCCAGGCTGCAACACACGCATCGACTGGGAAATGGCTGACAAGCCCAGCCACAGAAGCAGCCTTGCAGGACCGAAAGCCAGTCAGTTTCAGAGTGTGGATGATGTGCTGCCTTACAGTGCACTCTCTTATCGCGGCTCAGGAAGGCTCCAGACCTCTGGAGCTGCGGAGAGTCAGGTCAGAGGAGCTGTGCAGAAAAAGGGTGGCGTGTGCTTCCACAGTGGATTTGCAAAACTTGTTTTAGGGGAATTTAGAAAAAGAAATAATCATTTTCTAATTCTGCCACAGGCTTATGTACTCAATCATGGCTATAATTGCAGCCCTGAACATTCCATTGCTCCTGGGGATTGCTTTCTCATTAAAATACATTTAAAAATGTGAACACATTTGGAGATAGCTCAAACACTGCCTTTCTAAAACCGTGGGGCTCTAAAGATGTTTTCACAAATTGATGCATTTTTGTGATTGGAGAAGGAAAGAATCTGGTTGGAGGTAAATGGGACCAAGAGAAAAATATTTTAGAACAGTCTGGATTCACAGATAGGTTTTAGAAGACGGAAAAAGGAAATAGAATTTACTGAGGGCTTTTCTCCTTTATCAATGGAGAATAGGAGGTTAGCAATAGGAGGTTTTGAAGCTGATAAAATACCATCATTGTAGTTTACTTAATCATCTATATACATATACTCTAACCTTACAATTTCTTCTCCCATTTTGTTGACAAATCACTTAACAGTTCTTGGAACAGTGACTTGCCCTATTGGTAAGATTTTCCTCTAACAAACATATATTATGGTTTCTGGGGACTCCTTTCAATTTAATATTAATTTTTTGTTAATCCTTCCTGAGGATATTTTTTTTATTGATTTTTTAGATAGAGTGGAAGGGAGGGAGAGAGAGAAAAAAAATCGATGTGAGAGACACATGGATTGGTCACCTCCTGCAGGGCTCCGACTGGGGCCAGGGATTGAACCTGCAACCCAGATACGTGCCCATGACCAGGAATCAAACCTGAGACACTCCGGTCCACGGGCCAACGCTCTAACCTCTGAGCCAAACAGGCCAGGGATAAGGACTCTTTCAAAAAGTCTTTTGATAACATTTTAAGCTTAAAAATGGGAAGATTGAGGAAGACTGGCTCTGTAGGTGCAATGCCTCAGGCTGCCGCCAGGGGCGCATGACTCCCACATGCAGTAGCCCACCAGGCCTTGTCTGACTGGAGGGTTTCCTAATGCCCTCGGGTCAGGCTTGACTGATTTGCTTTTTAGTACAGGAGACATCGGCACACTGGCAAAATGGTAAGGTAGGGCAAACTCACCATTGGCAGCTCTACCTGGCCGTCATCTTGTCTCCCTTGTGAAAAAAATTTAAATTTGTTACAGCTGGTCTTGGATTTAATACTTAAATTTATTTGTTAAAAAATGTTATGGGCTCCCTCTTTCAAGACTCCTGACACCTGCCCTTTTCCTTGCAGCCTTTGCCAGTCCTTGCTCCTCCCTTCCTGGTCCAACTCTGAAATTCTGATCTTTCCTTTTCTGTGCTTCTGTTACATTTTCATTGAGAGGATATATGATGGTATTATTTAAAAAATTAAGGCTAACTTTCAAAAGCACACAGGCACAAAGGGGCCATATTTATCACAGTCTTTGAGGCGCAGACCCAGTGCATTGGTTTTAAGTCAGCCTGCATTCTCTTGTCTGCACATAAATGCACACAGCTAACGATTTCCCAAATCCACCAAGTTCCTGAGCAAGAGCTAGTAGGCTGACAGTGGGCTGTTGAGAGAGTGGGCTCCACAATTTAGACATCCTGAATTCAGATCTTGACTCTGCACTTACTAGCTTTATGACATTGGGCAAGTTAGTTAATTGCTCTGTGCCTCAATTTCTCCCTTTATAAGATAGTGATAACAGTATATTTGTGAGAGTATCATTCTGAGAAATCCATCCATGTAAAGTGCTTAGGAATGTTTCTGGCCATAGTAAGTGCTCAAGAAATGTTGGTTATTATTACTATCATTGATATAATAAGTCCATGTTCGCTTTTGGAGGTAGATGGAGGGGAGCTGGGGCACAGCTGGACCCTAGTTAAGCCCCTGCCGCCTGTTGCTCCTACTCTCAATCGGCGGTGATCAGCCACCTTCTCTCAGTCAGCACCACCCCTAACACCTGACACCTGCTCTCCACAAACGTCTTCAACTCCGATCACAAATGCAAAGGACTGACTGGCAGTAAATTATTTCACTGATTAATTGTCCACTGAGAGGCTGGCCATTTTACATTTCCCTGCTGGAGCCAGGAATGTGATTAGGAATTCCCAGCTCCACCAGGGAAAGGTAAAATGGCCAGCCTCTCAGTGGACAAGTTCTGGTCTCTCACAAAGATAACTGTCATAGGACGTTAGGACCCCGAGGAATCTGCGATATCACTCTATGCAGGAGCTCTCTGGAACTTTCTAGTCAATAGATATCTTACCTCAAAGAAAGAGCCTGCAGAACAAGGTGTTCTACAACCTTCTCTGTTGTCCCTTCTTTTGGATTTGGGACTGAGATCCTCCTGAGTGGAATAAGGATCATTTGGTGATTCTTCTTTGCGCTAAAATACCCGATATATTTTGGGGGGAAAATGTAACCCAGACCTTGATTATCTATCAATGATCAGAATTCCTTTCTTCTTTCCGGACAGTTTCAGTTCTCTGTCTCCCCTTCAAATCCACCACTTTGTTCAAGGCTGAGAATGGCGCGGCCCTGTTGGGGTGTAAGGCTACATTGCCTAACATGGACCATAGGTTGTAACATTACGTTGACTCTCATCTTGGCTGTAGTGCTCTGTTGTTTAAAAAGTACACACAGACCACCTGGTTTGTTTCTGCTCATGGTCAGAAGTCGGCAGCTATGTAAGAAGCCTGGGCTCTGGCATCAGGCTGCCAGGGTGTGTGCATTGCTCTCTCACTTACTTTCAGCTACTCGAGCTCTTCGAGCTTCGGTTCCTCCTCTGCGCAATGGGGATAATAACCACACCTACCCTATGGGGTTATTTAGGAGGGTCTATGGCGATGTTACTACATGTAAAGCACTTAGAATAGTGCCTGGCATATCACAAACATTCTTCAAGTTTAGCTGTTATTATTATTGTTATCCCTCTTTTTATATTTGAGGACCTAGAGGCTTACAAAGGTCACATGTTCTCTCAGGTAAAAAGTGATAGAGGCAAAGATTTATGTTTCCTGTATCCAGGTTCACTTTGCGGACAACATGATGGGCTGTCTGTCTAGTAATATGACTTGGGCATGTCCCCTGATGCCTTAGTGTCTTCATCCCCTTTCTGCCTCTTTCACAGAGCTGTGTGGATCACATCAGAGACCCCTGGGCTTTCAGAGGCCCCTCGATCCCTGGCCCACCTGCAGCTTCTTACCAGAGGCCGTTAGTGGTGTTATGATCGGGATGTCTCTTTAAGGGCACCTCTGTGTCTGTGGCCACTGAGCTTCGTGGCGAGTTCCTTGGCACTCTGAGGAGTTCAAAGAAAAAATATTTGATAATGGGTCCTGACCTCCTTCATGTGCATTCAAACTCAGGAGGGAAATGAGTTAAACGAGAACTCTCATGTATATGGCCACCAGGATTGTGACTTGTGAGCTGTGACGCTTTTCCCGTCTTGGACATGCAGGGAGAGCTGGCTTTGCTCAGCGCCACACTCGATGAACAGGCTCTTCGGGGTTCTCATGCACAATCTGCATATAGGTGAGCTTTGGTTGTGAATACTGAGTGGAAAAAACAAAGCCAAAACAAATGGCACACTTGGTCTAACTAAGTGTAGCTGCAGTCATTTATCCTGTTTCCATCGCTGCAGATATTTTATTTGGTTGTGGGGAGCTTATGTAAACAACCCAGTTTACACCAATTTCTCAAACATATGTGGTTTGTCAAACACCATGAAAGTAAGCTCCGTATGAGGTGAGAAATATAAGATGGTCCCTGGCACATACAAAAAGTTTACATAACCAGTGGATTAACATAGAATACCCAACTTGATACTTTCAATTATTTGCAGGTGGGTTTTTTTTTCTTTTATTTTTTTAAATTAATTAATTTATTTTTGTTACAGATGTTTCTCCTTTTCCCCCCATTGATTCCCCCCTCCCTCTCCCTCCCCGCCCTTTCCCCAGCTTTGTTGTCCATGTCCATTGTTTATGCATACATGCATATAAGTTCTGTGGTTTATCTCTCTCCCACCACCCCCTCTTCTGGGGATTGTCAGTCTGTACCCCACTTCCACGTCTCTGGGACTACCCCATTCCTCAGACAGTTATGTTCATTATATTCCACAAATAAGTGAGATCATATGATCC